AGCTGAAGTAAATCTGCCATCCAGTTGTTGAGATGTTTCTTTCATTAGGTCTGACAAGGGCTTGTTGGAAGTTAAAAATAATGAGCCTACGTGGCAATTTCAAATTTTGGTTAATGAGAAAATAGTATTCATTATCCAAACAGCAAATTTTTCTCTCTGGCCTAGTTTTAATCTCCTACTTTGAATTTCAGTGGATCTATTATTTTCAGCTGATAAATTGTATGATATAAATGGAGTTTAAAACTTTGCAACGATCATACAATGAACTTGTCTTATCATTGCTCACTGCTATGCCTCTAGTGATCCCTTCTATCTTGTAATCAAGTCCCACATCAAGGCATCATCTTACACTTAGTTTAAATTTTAGTTGATTACTTTGAATACCCTGTAAGATTCCATTAAAAATATGCATTGTCACATAAGTCAGCGTTGCTACTATATGAACACTGCTGAATATTCAATGTGTTAATTATCTGTTCACATTACATACCATTACAACCCATTAAATAGCTTAACTACTGCCTCATTTAGATCTGCTTTCGAAAACTGAGTTTGTTTTACCTATTGATGAAGGAATCTTCTCAACAGATGTGATTTTAAAACTCCACAAATAAACAAGAAAAAGGATGATACATGTGCCAATATATTCACTGAATATACAACTCCAGTAGGAATGAAGTAAAGCATACGTACATATAGAGTATCTCACTGATGGTAAAACAGCTATAGAGTTGGCAGTAGAAATTCACAGCATAGTCTCGTTTGACCTATCAGAATAGAGTGCACTGACATGACGTTCAGTAATTCTAACATTAGAGCCAGCATAGACTTGAACAGAATGAATATAGATATGATTTTGCTTTGACATGTACAAGCAAATTAGCCAATGGCCATTTTTAAGAAAGACATTGAAAATGTGTATTTTATACACCATTTTGCATGCATGCCTCATCAACACACTGTATATGTAGCATTGCCAAGTAAAACTCTTAATCAAATACCTATGAAATATTGATAGGTTTTCAGTCATCACTTGACCTTTTCACAATATGTGTGCCACTTCAGAAACCCTACGTTTAAGGTGAACATCATTGGGAGTATTTTTTCTGTCATTTTCTCATGAAGGTGTGCATATTTATTCATCGTGTTTCAAAAGTATAAGTGTATACGAATGTAAGTGTGACTTGTGTTCACAGAAAGTCTTTCCATTGTTCACTTCATTTTGAATCAAATCCTTAATATCCACTTTAAGTTGAAATATTGGATGGCATAAATAACTATAAGTACACTGTAGATTAAATTCTCAACGAATGAAATTTCCCAGAGAACCGGTCACGTTTTTACCCTAACTAAAATCACACAATAAGCCTACATGTAAATATATACGTGCAGAATTCATAAAGAGAGAGAAGAGAAGTGATGCAGTTTATGAACAAAGGTATCATTCACGTTAATGTTGATGACCATCACTTTCTTGTGTCTAATTACCATTGACTGTAGCTTCGTTTTCATAAACAATAGCAGCATGCCCTTCTACTTGTTTCTCAGATTTATTTGTATTTGTAACACTACCTTTTTGACACTTTTCATTAATATTTTTCTCATCTTTGACACCGACACAGACTTGTGTGTCTTCAGTAGTTTTTCCCTTCCTTATTTTGCTACCAGCTGTGTTCTCCATATGTACCTCAAATACGGAGTCTTCTTCAGATGAATCCATACGAAGGAAGGGGAGTGTGCTACAAGACGAGCTTTGTCCAGTGACAAAGTTATTTCTACAACCTGATGTTTTGTTGAGTGAGTGTTGGACAGTGTTGATGTTACCAGCTGAACTAGTAGTCATAATTGGCACTGGTGACCTATCTTTCAAGATGCTTGTGCTGTGAGCTGTTGGGATTGGTGGTAAGGGCATCTGTCTTCTAAGGACACGTTGTCTTTGTCTCAGTCGATGAGATGGTGGTCTTGGAGGCACCTGTGTAGAAGGCATAGAGACATCATTCATGATACATCATATGTTTGTCTTTACCTGTTTGGATATGGTGTGTGCACATAACATAACATATCTAACACTACATTCTGTCAACATAAATATTAGTCCACTGCTTATTACTTGTTGAGGTTTGTGTGCATTTTTTACCTCAGGAGGGGTTTCTCCTTCTGAAGATGGTAAACTCTTCAAGGTGCTTGCTCGGTGCCTTGGGGAATAATTGTCAAGACTTTCATAGATGCTCTCTTCTTCGCACCCAGTATTACATGTGACATCCTCGAAACCGGTGTTGCATCTTTCCTGAAAACCTGGACTTGATGGAGCTGAGGAGCAAGAACTAGATAAAACTCGACGAGGTCTTGGCAAGGGAGGATTCAGTTCTGGATCAAATGTCATGTAACCATTCTCACGATTTAAATCACATCGCTGTTGTTTTTTGTACGTATAGACAGCAGCATCTGAGTCGGATGGACTGCCTGGTAAGTCACTGTTCCAACCGTTACTTGTTGATTGCTGTGATTCTTGTGAGAAAGTTCGCCCAAATGATGTTCTCCCTGTCAACACCCTTTCTAGTCTCTCAACAGCAGCTGAAACTTTCCCTTTCAAACCACTAGGGGGAGTTATGCTTCCTTTCAAACCAATGTTGAGGTTAGGATGCGATAAGGACAGTCTTTTCAAGTTGAGACGGTTGAAATGTCTGGTGATATAGAATGGATCGACATACCCATTACTGTCCACTGATGGCCTATGCTCCATGGATATATCGGTTTCACTGCATGAGCTTCGCAAGTGACGTAACATGCCCAGGAAACCTTTAGTCTTCTTTGACCCTTAACATTGAGGACCAGTGGGACGACTTTTCTCTGACCATGTTTGTCGTCTAAGCGGAACTGTTGGGCTGTAAGATGAACTTTTCACAAGGGGTGTCTTGGCTTTTTGGAGACATAAAGTGTAGAGTCTTGCACGTCTGATATGATCAGAGGGTCTTTGTTCGTCAGTTGGTGTAGATATACATTTTTGTGAGCACAGACTAGGATAACTACTGTTGATGTTACTCTGATGAGAATTCAGTTCATTAACTCTATCTTCAGAAAAGGTTCGTCGCCGTCTTCTGTTTTGACGATACTGGATATGCCATCCCTTAGGTGAGGATGGTTGTGATTGAGGTGTGTAGTCGGTTATATGTGTCATCATTCGTGATGGATGTGGGTTTGGTGGAGTAGGCTGATACCCATATTCACAGTGCCTTGCTTTTGATGGTGGCTGAGTAGTAACTGCTTGTTTTATTAGAAGTGGTCTCTTTTTTATCAGTGGAGACCACCGTTTTCGTCTGCGTTTATTTGTCTCTTCAGAATTCAATTTTAGTGATTGGGTGGATGAATTAGAATCGTATGGATCATTCTTGTAGCAGAGACAACGGTGTCTACAGTAGGCACATGGCATACTGCGACTGTCAGTGTACATGTATTCAACTTGATCAGTTTGCACTGCTTTCTCAGCTACAGGTGGTCTGTATACTAATGTTGTACTCCTTTGTTTCTTTGGTAATTGATTGCCCCCAATGACAGATGGTTCCCCTTCACTGCAACTACTCTCAGCACTTGCCAGTCTAGGTCTCGGTTCAACATCTAAGAAGACACTGTCATCTTCATCATCTTTGCTGTCCTGGTAACTGATTTCTGCCTCATCTTGCAGATTCCTTTCCACGTTTATGTTGGAGCTGTTCGGTTCAGCTCTGCTTTGCAGTATTTTGGGACTTTTATCTTGGGAAATTTCTATACATATTTCCGTGTCAGCTCCTTCGACAGTTGATATACTGCCAAGTAAAGAGGAGGTCCTCTTACGGCGGATCAGCTTTCCCAGAAATGACCGACTATTTGCTCTCTGTTGCCTGCCCTCCTCTAGATTAGGATTTTTGCTAATTTCATCAGCCTCAGGTATCTTATTGAAAGAGGATCTGGTTAACCTTGGAGAGTTGTTTTTACTAGTAACAGGTGTAGCAGGATACCATGGGGCCAACAAGTGACTGTCTGTAAAAGAAAAGAATACAAAAGCAAAAGCACCTAGAGTCTTTCATTTGCACTCGATCAAGTATCTGATAGTGGCATTGCGAAGGTTTTCTTCAAAAAGAGGTTGGGCATTTATTCTGTTATAGAAATAAAAGTGTTTGGGTACAGTACACTGCAATAGAAACTTCACACACTAAAAGTAAATGTTGTAATTTACTATCTTCATCCCTTCTTTCTGACTTTTATTGAAAACATGATTAAGAGGAGGGTTCGTTTGTAAAACTATATCGAGTCCTTTAATTAACAAGCATTTAGGAAATGACAGTTGACTTTAGTAAAGAAAAACAGTAACAGTAGTCCAAGTAAATATTTCTTAGAATTTGTACATTTTATTTTCATGTTCATGTTGTTGGTTCCTTATTAACGAGGGTTTATTTACCTGTTTTTAAGAATGTCCCAGATGCCGAGCGTAACTGTGGCCGTTGTCGACCCTCTGTCACGTCACTACTTGCCCTTCTTGGCCGAGTGCTGATCGTTGCTCCCATTCTGACCGAAGTCAACAAACTGATGATACCGTTCTCAATACAAGAGGGTTTATTACCTGTTTATGGAGTGAAAAGGTCATTCCTGTTAGATGTATGCCTTGAATGATAAAGCTTGGCACCAAGTATTCCCTTTTTTGGGTGGAGTAATCATCTAGGGAGAGGATAAGATGTCACTACTGTTTATATTATTAACTGCCTTATGGGGAAGATTAATTTAATTTCAGTATCGTCCATACTTGTATTGACTGCGACCTGAATTTTCAGTTTATAAGATAATGCAAGGTTGCTAGCATTCTCACATTATCCGTTACTATGGTAACTGCGTCCATCTTTTATTTCTAACTTTTTTATTTTCTCGTGTGTTCCCCCTCAAAAATGTTAATAAGTAAATTTAATTCAAGGATGGATGTCACAGTGATGTCGTCTACATGATCATCTTGATCGGCCACATAAACTGGGCCTCGATCCAGGGGTGAAGAAATCGAAGATCGTTGGACGCCCACACAGTGAACCGGCCTTGCTCTGTGATAACATGGAGCCAACTACCACGCTATTTGATTCAGTTCTAATAATCACTTGTTTATTTCTTCACTCGTAAAGACAATCAAATTATTTCTCAGTTTCTTAATATTGTTTTGTACATTTCAAGAAGTTTGGTCATCTTATTACAACCTGACGCACCCATTTCTAGGTACTGTCAAGTGACGGTTTCCAGGTCTTCGTACTCTTCGTACTGATTTATGCAGTGTGTTTCCTCTGGAACATGTTTTTTAAAGTTAGTGCTAGTCCTGAGAACACTTGCACTGGGACAAGTGGCTTTCCCTGAGTTTGCTCTCCATTTCACAGCCGGTGAGTTTGACAACTCTGGCTGCCACGCTCCCTGGTCATATTGAATTTCCCTGGTAATTCCCTGATGGCTTATTGGAACAGGCAAGTATATACATGTACATGTATATGCCTGCGGCTAGTTGATGGAAATTAATGATGCAAAGAGACAGTTCGGGAAATTACACGATTTTGTTAAATATTCAAGCGTTCGTAACGATTGGGAAAAGAAGGATTTTAATTAAGAAAATGTTGCCAACAGTTTTTTTTTCGTTTTGCTTTGTCTGAAGATCTTAGTATACAAAGAAGTGCAAAGCCATTGCATGATTTCGAGCCTTTTAAAATGAAACTGCCGCATCAAACGTGTCTCCTCTCTTATGTCAAACATGGACTTCAGTTAAGTTGACTTAGTGTCCTCTGGGAATTCTTAAAACATCGAAGCGGTTTCTTGCTGTTGTGACAAAGCGTTTTGCCTGCAAGTTGACCGTATCTTATAGTCACAGCAACTCGACGCGTCCCAATGAGACCAATGCTCTGCAATGACACAGACACTCAAGTATATAACTAAATTTACGGTCAAGTGTGAACTGAATTTATAAGTCCTTGGTGATATGACCATCACCCGTAATGATGATATTGATTTTTGTGATTTCTTGGCGATAATTCGACCTCAGTAGTGTTTGCATTAATTGCCGTGATTTGTGCTTAATCCGTTATACGAAACAAAGAAAATCTATGCTGAAAATAGTTCAAATTCTCGAAAAAGAATACCAACTTCTAATTTGAATTCTATTCCACGCACGACTGAGACGTGTAAAGATGAGCAGTTTCCGGTGAAAGCTAGTTAGTTCAATTTTGTATGCTTCTGTACCATTATCAAGTGGAATTAGGTTAACACATGACTCTAAATGATCGGTTTTGGAGGGCAAAGTCCAGTGTTGCTATGCCTGGTGTAATCTTAGTCACTGGCAATTAAGGGAAGGTTTTTGTGATCAATACTTAAAGTGTCATTATTTGAAAAATAACTTGACTGCGGAAATAATAAATGAAAACATTACATGCTTCGAATGCTGGCAGTCCTTACTGCAGTAATTGATAGAGTCACCAAAAAAATATAAGACACTGAAACTCATGAAAAATGGTTTCCATGGTTTTAATGTTAAGGAAGCTGTTTGAAGCTTACGGAACGCATTCGTTTCAGCATAACATTCTTTGTAATCTCTAACGTTTAAAAAGATCTGGATCAGTACCATATTAAAGTACAGTGTAATCGATTCTCTATTCCTGCATGCACAGTTAGTTAAAATACTGAAGCCACTCCATGGAGGAAAAACAATCCAACGAAATAAACCAACAATCTCAGGTTATAAAGAAAAAGATGACAAAAATTGTATTTTGGTATTGCCGTTTCACAGTTTATTTTTTATAATTCCGTGTGTGTTTTAACCACCATGTATTTCTTCACGTTTAAATGGTTATTTCTTTTCTTTAGGATAAGATGTATGTAATAGACACTGAAAACACTAGTTCAGGAAAAGTGAAATGAAGTACAGGAAATGGACAAAGCCAGCCAAATAACCCTATATACCCAAAGGATGTACGGAAAATCACATTAAAATTGGATGATTTACGACTGTTAGTGTTTATTCCTTAACTTTTGTCATGTTTCTTATGCAAAGGTACTAAACAATACACAGTTATGGAAACAAAACTTTTCATTGTAAAGTGAATAACTCTCTTGAAATGACTGATAATTTGACGTTGGAAATGTGCTGTGCTGTGATCATGAAAATCCTATATCTGACAAGATTTTGAACACCTAAATTCTCACACAAATCATGCAGTGGACGAACAACGAAAACAAGGCATAAATTCCCCTGTACCCCCAAAACGAGACCCCTCCAAAAGCACAAGACAAAACTTTGTATGTTTAATTCATTTTAAAAATTTACTTATAATAATATTTAGTTTTGGGACGCTTTTATGCTTGTTTGAGGGTTCTTTGTTCATTTTATTATTATTTTCTGAGGTTCACATTACAGTTAAAGGATATCTCTCCTGGACACTGTTATTTACACTCAACAAAGTCAGTGTGAGAAATGCACATCTTACTATCTGCAGTAGCAAAAATTGTCCCTCTGACCATGAAAGCACAATACAGTCTACCTCGACTTCGTGAATCCTGATGAAAGGTGACTTCTTAATCATTTGAAAAAAATTGTCTCGAAACCGGATGTTGAATTTGTTGTATAGTGGGGATCTGTGCTCTCCACGACTAAGCTACTTTGATTTATTGTAGAAAACCCCAGGATTGTCCCTTCCTGTAGATTGTGACTTAAGGCTTTGAGTTGCCATGGTAATATTCTGCATTTTGCCAGACACCTGTTGGGATGTCGAAGCTTTGCACGTTTCTCACGTGCTCCCAGCACTCAACATGTCGTGCATGGATCAGTGACATCACTGTAGATACAGGGGCAACATGCATGTAGTTTACTGTGGATATTAGTGTGCAAAAAGCTGGTTCTCTTCAAACATTGGGTTTAGTTGAATTTGTAAGTATAGAAACAAATAGAATGCAAGATGTAAATATATTGCCATTATACTTACTGTTTCGCTTATTCAGTGAAAGAAATTTTAATGATTATTTCCCTTCTGTATGCAATTGATAACGGAATACATACTGTGTTAATTTTCAAACGAATTAGGCCCCTCTATGAGTGATTGTGTGTATCACAGGAAAGGGGCACAGATACATGTGTAGGCTTTCCCGAACAATTTTGCAAAATGCATTTGAATTTATAAACATATTTCAATTTTGCTCTGATTTTGAGAACTACGTTTATCCTGATTTCATTTGTGCAATAAGTAGCATTCGATTTAATTTTGCATCATTCAAATAAACGACTGTGCACAATGTTTCATTAAAAGAATTACAAACACGTAATTTGGCTTTCGGTTTGACGTATGCGTTGCATTATTACGAATGTGCAATCCCATTCTCAGTAATCGATTTTTTATTGTCACACTGGCTGAATTGAACATTCTTCTTTTCATTTGGCACGTTCTGCATTAAATTTATACAAGCCTATACAAATCATTAAACATTTTTATTGATTCATTCATAAGTCAAGGTAATAATACCTGTTCTTATATATACACAAAGGTAAATGTAAATTGTAGGCAAATGAAACGTTAAAATAATATAAATCTGACCAAAATGAAAACCAGTTGTCTTATCTCCCTCCTGCAGCCATTATTGGATATTGTAAAAGGCTCATGTGAAGTGAAACTTGGCTACATGCTGGGGTTGTGGCTAATGCTGAGAGAAAAAACAACTTAGGTTTGTATACAGGCTTTATTACTATAGTAGGTATATTTCAAAGGACTATACCACTTGGCTTCGTTCAGTCATCAGTAATATTTAGACATTTAATCCTTCAATTAAACATTACTCATATGTTTCTTCTAAATGATGTCGAATGCTTGTCAAGGAGCGAAATAGATTCATGATAATTAAAAGAATATAGGATTGCAGATTTGCCTCGGATTTGTCTTCAAGCTAAAAATGAAATGTAATTGTACCAAATTCAGTGCAAATTCGGGAAATCGTATGCTGTGGCTGAGTGCACCCTCGTGGAAATAGAATTTTAATTGTTAAACGGAAACAGCGGTTTTGGACGTTCATTCTACCCCTCTTTTGCTAATTCATGCAGACATTTTCCCAAAAATGTCTGGGAAAACCTATACTTAAAAGGGCCAGTGCGCTCGCCAAAGGCCAAACAATGAAATAAGCGCTTTTCATAGCCAAACATAGGCATAAGAAAACGATGTAATTTCATACAGTTACATAAATTTAGAACAATTAACATGATCTTTCCGACTCGTCACAGATGGTTGACTGAAATAAAGTCAAGAAGCCTGTTTCCGTGTGAAGTTAACGTTCTTATCCCACGACCATTCCTTTTCGTTCAAAGTGCGTACCAAAATAGTCAAATTAATAATATAAAGTTCGGGTTTAGCTGATAAACTTAATAATCCCAAGTGTGTAAGACAAGTCTTTCTTCCAGAGTACTTGAAGCTGGTAGTGTTAATACTTTATCCAAATACTTATGCCATTATTCATTAGAAAACTAGCTGGTTGTTATTTCATTTTGAATGGAGAAACAGAAGTTTATTGACATATGAAATATTTCATCCTTATCTTTCCGTCGTTAATCGTTGTCAAGTTTTTGATTCCTCAGTGTCATATTTTATGAAGTATATACCAATCTCCGGGTACACCGAACTTTCAGATTGTTAAAGTACGCAAGGAAATGAGGCAGGAACCGTACAAAATTAATATTATTGCACTTTGTTATCTGCAAGACCGCGAAGCATCGCAGACATTTTAAAATTGAAGTTAAGAGATAAAGGTGTGTCGGTGACATGAACCGAGATACAAAATGTCCGATAAAAGTTCTCATTTTCAGGTTCTCTGAAATGCCGCAAGGCTTGGTTTTAGGCTATTAGATGAATTTTCCAACCCTTTAGTAGGTGAAAAAAATCCTGAGTTGGTCTGTGATATAAATCTTGGGGTAAATTTAATGAAGTGCTGTAACTTACATCCCCTGTGTCAGTGCATTTGGCCCTATACGTATGTGAAATTCAGTTCACGGTTATTATTATTTTGTTCTTTTCAATTTTCTTATACAATTACGAAACTCTAAACGAAGTCCCCGGACATTAAAGATTTTCTCTAATAAAACTTTAGTCTCACTATAAAGATGAATTTCAGCAGTGATGGCAGTGTCAACGGAAAACACAGTGAGGCTTTGCACAAAAGACTGGTCTCTGTATCCCTAATTAGGAATTTTTTGTTTTATGAGTGAAAAAGTGGAATGCTTTCCATTCGATAAACCTTAAATTGAAATCCTATAGCCTATTAAAATCATTTATATCTATTACTTAATTTAAAGGAACACGTTACTGTGACTGTTTTCTCATTTGACAAGCCTAGCAGAAAAGATCAAGACAGACTGCGCTTACCTTTGCTTGACGGAAAGCCGTACTAGATACATTGCTGCAGCGATAAAAGCTTTCTCCGCATCAGCGAAACAGATTGGAGTGGTCTGAAATGTACCAGCCGGTGAGGTCTGCTGAAATACCAGCACGCTAATAAGATAGATCTGGCAGAGGACAGGATGATGTCATGATGTCGTCTCACTTGCCAATGCATTAATTTATTCAGACGAAACTGATGCTGCCGAACACTCGTGCTGTAAGCCACGCCCACCACACTAGCCTTGGGTTGTCTCTAACCCCGTTTTCCTGAGGGAAATCTTGTAAGCCCTTAAGGCAGCAGCTTGGACCAGGCTTCGGGTTCACACACACACATCGTCTCAAGATTACCTTGTTGCAGTTCTATTCGCCTGCGCAGTTTTATGTTCCACAGATTCTATTTCACATTATGCCGCCTCTATAATGCAGTAAGGTGTGATATTAAGACGGCCTAAGCGTTAATTATAACCGTATAAAGTTATAATAAACACTTCATCTTGTTCTTAAAAGTCATGTTTGGTCACTTGAGTGAGCTAAAACTCGATAAGGGTCGCAGTTATAGGTTTTAAATTTTGGAAACCACGATCCTTTCATTTTATGGTATGCAGTGGGTAAATCTGCAAGTAAGATCACAGGAGGCAAACTATTGAATCCATAACAAATTAATATTGGTATGAAAAAGTGATTAATGGCTATATACTGTGGCTATTGATCTAGTCTAAGCACGGAGGAAACCCAGACGGGTAATTACAAGGGTGGAGGCATAAAACAAACAGGAGGTTTTTCAGAACTGGCAACTCATCAAGTGAATCAATCCGAAACTGAGTGTAGTAATCAAGATGTCCATGATACTAGCCATCATCTAAAAGCTAGCTAATAGCGACATTAATTACAAGTCTGCTCCCAGACATGCTTGTGCCTATCGAGTATATGGGTCGGCGCGCCACGCCCCCCCAGTGGACTTAGGGATACCACTGATATCACGTTGCATTCAAACGTTCCTCGTCGGACCTTCTGACTTTAGTGGTTGGTAAAAATCACCCTCCACTTAAGTCCGTCTACTTCAATTAACCATTTGTGAGTTAAATTTGAATAAAATCTGGTACACTGAACTATCTGATCGCACATAAACGTGACAATTTGAATTTTCCAGACTGAAGACACTGCTGCTATACCTCTTGATTCATGGCAAGCTTTTGCATTGCGACCACCATCTCGGGAAAGGATGGGGGTTCAAATTTGTGCCCTTCTTATCCATTGAGCTGAGAACAGTGTATTGTTGCAAGACGTCTCTTATGTAACTAAGCAAAGCTTGCCCCGAATCACAAGGTATAGCAATAGAGAATTCAAATTGAGTTGTACCAGATTTCATTCAAATTCAACTCGCAAAAGGCTTATTAGTAGGCCTACCAGGTTTTTAATAGCTGGTTTGAATGATAGAGGGCGGACGCGCTTTATCACACATCGGTCGAGTTCGGGCGGTCCGTTCTTCACATGGATTTCGTGTTCTCGCGCCCGAACGGCGGGAACATTGAAGACCAAAGAACACTGTTCTCGGAACAGGTTCACACACCACCTCCTCGTCAGGATTTCACACGAACACACGGAAAAGCTCGTGAGATTTGATTTTTGAACAGCCGCCAAAGTACCGATATGGCTTTACTCGGACAATGGAAAGTTTTGACAGAAATGAATTTTTTTTTAATGGAAAAGAAGTTAGCCCAGTTATCCAACATTAAGTACCGAAGAATGCACAAAGACGCTGCCATGTTGCTAGCCACAAATAAATACTAGCGTTATTAACCGGTTGTACTTTCCCGGCGTTTGAGCGACCGACCCACGAACAGCAAATCGAGCAGTTCGTGAACAAACGAGAACAAGCCGCCCGAACTCAGCCATCTTGTTAACAGTTAGGGAATCGCGCCCTCTGTCATCTTTTCCCGGAGCACGAGTCAGAGTTGCCGCAAAGTAGCAACTTGAAGCTCTCCTTATTATGCACGAAATAATGGTCAAGGCCGGATCCAGACCCCATTTTTTTTTGGGGGGGGGAACAAGTAAACGGCGTCTCCGGTGCACTCTTTGCAACTCAGTGCACCACTCCCCAGTCACAATTTAGCAGCTGCTCACTGAAACAGTTTCCTGAACAAAATGGGTCTGTCCATAAAAAAACAACCTCCATTTAAGACACTTCACTTTGTTAAAGACAAGACGAGACGAGACGAGACGAGACGAACACCATGGGGGGGGGGGGGACATGGCCTCCGTTGCCCCCAGGGATGCTCCCTTGAAAGTGGCTAAATAATTCTTAGAATACCGTCTGAGTTCACCCTTGTGAGGCGTCGGGGGCTTGTAGCATCAAAGACCGAGGATGGGGGGGGGGGATCGGAGTTCCATTTTGTGGGATCATCAACTGTTAAATAGCTTCCCGAACATTAGTTTAAGGTAAACTGTTTAATTAAATCAAAAGTTAAATTGTTAATTGTGCACTAAATATTAAATTAATTATTATGCATCAATAATCAAACAAATTTTCTAGAAAAAGCTACACTTGGATTAAACTCTACATTAGGATTAAAGTTAAATCTGGGTTGGGGCTTGGACGGGGCATAGAGTGCCAGTGAGGAGGACTTACGGTCTGTAGTCACTCCACTTTCACTGTGTCATTCTTGTTCTTCAGTATTAAAAAATAATTCAATTAGTGTTGTTGCTTTTTTTTAATCTGCGTATATGTTATTGTGAACCAAAATGTTTAAGCCTGTGACTTCTAATTTAGGAAATCCTGTTTAAGTCTGTGACTTCTAATTTAGGAAATCCTGTTTAAGTCAAATAAACCAGAATGAAATATAGAAAAATTAATACCTCTCGTTTAAATACATGATTAAAAAAAACCGACTTTTATATTTTGACCTGTGTCTCTCCTCTACGAAATGTGTATCATTAGTCACATTTCCTGAGAAATAAAATGATTGCAATCCCAAATATAGATATGATTGAAGCAAAACGCTTACATCATTCGTACTGTAAATATGGCTGTGTCCAAAACGGGCTCCAAGGGCTACAGCTGGGTCTGCGCGTCTATGCGTTTCAAATGGAGTAGACCTCTACACTACAGATAAGGATGCAGCCTACAAAACAGTAGTCGATTAACTATTGAAATATGACGTCACCGTTGAACTTGTCTAGTTCCTCGTATTATCTTACGTATTTTACTACGTTGAGCTAGTACACGTACATCTTCAGCAGTCTGCGCAGACGCAGGAAGTGGGAGGCCATATCCATTTTCTTCGTGGAGGCCCGTTCGTCCGTGATTCTGGAGAAGTCAGGGGGTTTGAAATCAAGCAAAGAACAGCCATTTCTTTATAATCAGTGAATTCTTCGTGAACCTAAGATGGGTAATTATGGAATGGAAGAACTCATACCCATTGTGAATAAGCTGCAAGATGCATTTGCTTCCATCGGTCTCAGCAGTTCCTTGGATTTGCCACAAATCGCTGTTGTTGGTGGCCAGAGCGCAGGCAAAAGCTCTGTCCTTGAAAATTTCGTTGGCAGGTAGGCCCATCAGCAGCTTTTACTAGACATGCTAGAGTTAATGTTCCAAATACCATAGAGGAAGGACACAGAAGGAATTGCAACCCAGGCACTTCAAAGAGTTCAATGATGTTCGCCGCCGAGTCAGACGAAAAATGCCTGATTACTGCCTGCATTTACTAGCCGGACAAGCGGGGCCTGTCCTAGCAATACTTGTAGTTTGTTGCTGGCAATTAAACACAAATTATTGGTGTGATCAGGAAATTAAAAAAAAATTCCTGATATTAGACCTACTTTTGCCATCATAAATAAACTTTTGAAATTTTGACACGCTGTTCCATTATCCATGCAAAGTTTGTAATTTTATTCTCCTCCATCCAATACACCAGTGTTCAAAGACTTGGTACGAATTTGGCTAAGGCTGGCCAACAAAATGTTCACTACTACTGGAAAGCTTAGTTCATTAGCAACAAAATGGGCTATTTCATCAAAGGGAGTGATCGTGAAATCTCATAAAATACGCTTTTGGACAAACACCATGGCATAATAAAAATGATTCAAACAAAACACAAAATTTTGTAAACGACTGGGCTATGCCAGTTTATTCCCAAAATAACTCCACAAGAAAGAGTTCATTAAGAGCAATGACTGCACATATAGATTTGGGCACACAGCGTAATGCAAGCAACTGTGCCAACATGAAATTTGATGTCATGAGATCATAATAAGCACCAACAAAGGGATGAATATTCAATTTCCTATACCTCAGAACACAAAGATTTAAGGATGCAGATTACTAACGACAAATCGTGGCGGCGACCATGGGGTACAAAGGGATTTCGTGGTTGTGAAACAGATGGTGCGTAGCAAGCATTCGCTGCGCTCCGACTATGGACATACCTTGCATGCCAGGAAGCGGTAATTGGCCAGATGTTACAGCCCTGGCAGTTCAAACTCCTTCTGTGTCCTTCCTCTACCGGTATGCATATACATGTACGGACATCACTAATTTTCACTTTGAGTGGTTACTATCCATTAGATTGTGATAATGTACTGAAAAGTCAAATTAACCAAGTAAAATGTGTAGGCTCATCTCTGGGTTAACCATAACATACTAATAATTCCTTAGCCTAGAAGAAGTACTTTTTTATGTCTTGTTGCTTTCTTAGGGCTAACATGTAAGTCCCTCTGGGACAATGCGTTTTCCTTTTGTGGAGATCTTACCTTGTAAGTTGTATCATACCAGTACATGGTACATGTACATGTACGTTACATGTTTATTGATTTATTCATTAAGACCTAGCCTATTTAATTATAGGGAGTCAGTATGTATACAGTAACAGGACAGTTGAGTTGGGCTTGAAATTTTTAGTGATGTGTGAAAGATCATTGAAGCATAGTTTTGATGTGATGTTTTGTTATCTTACAAAATACAATGTAGGAGACCAAGTCTGTCAGGTGTCATATTAAGTCTATTCGTGTTTGACAGGGTCTTTTGATAACATTTGATTGAAACAACGTGTGATTTATGCACTTGTTAATTGCATCATGCTCCCTGTGCACCATCCATCAATCTGATGCACAAGCATACACCACAGTTGCACAACAGCACCCGAATACACAACCTGCTGTTTGGCACCAGTTCAACATTGATGTTTTACAAAAAACAACTTCCTTTTCTTGCTGAAATTCTAAGCTTCCAAATAAACACCGTTTCATATATGTTTCATCAACTCCTTATACATGTTTTGGGGGAATTTTCAACAGAGAATGCGCATTTTTTCTTTCCAAGGTGTAGGGTAGGCGTACAGAGAAATATGACTGCAGATAGCTCCAAGGGATGTCAGTTAAAAAAAAATGTACTGGGAGTGGAAAGCCAGTTTTAGCCTTTGCTAGAAAAGAACAAGCACACATAATTGTACTCGTGTGTATCATGTACCGGTACGTGTATATCAGTTCTACATGTAGATAAATTAACCCTACATGTACTTCTCCCATCTTTCTATTTTGGTGGGGTATTTTGCAGATAAACGAAACAATTGACCCGCCCAGTAGAATCACATCAGTGCAGCTTGTGAAAAATTGTTACATGATACATATAAAATGGATGTAGAACGTGAAAAACTTTAGACAAACAGTTTCCATGTTGTTGTTTTTGTAAGGAATGTAACTGACAAATTGGGAAAGGTCAATTCTGTATTGGACTGTCACAATTTTTGAGTGTCATGACAACTATAAAGAGGAAGCCTGGTAATTTTAGGGGGATTTTGGTAAGCAATGTCATGGAGTAGGCCTACCTGATGACTCTTAATTTGTACATACATACAGGTACATGTATATTCATGCTATACTTACTTTTGGGACACCTGTACAGTACAGGTACTTGTTTGTTCTTACTACTTGTGTTTAAATCCCAAACTAACCTTTGCAATCTGGGCACTTAAGTACATTTCATTAGTACGGTGTTGAGTAATTGGCTTTTAAAAATCCTCCAAAGCCGTGTATCAGAAGAAAATGAAATATCCCTGAAATGGAGGTTTCTATTGGATGAAAGATTGTTTGTTGACATGGAATAGAGTGTTATTCCAGGTCATGAAGAATGAGGTCTTCTATTGTACATTCTAGAAGACCTCACATGATTTAGTACCTCTACGTGTAATGTTTTATGTTTCTCCGGACTGAAGTAGAAGTAACATTGAAACTGTGGACTTATTGGTTTCCTTTACATGTATGTTTGCAGGGATTTTCTCCCCAGAGGGTCTGGCATTGTAACCAGGAGACCACTCATCCTTCAGCTAAACCAATCTAAAGCAGGTACATGTATGTGCAGGTGTAGATCTGTTTATTGTTATTTGTGTGTGAACCGAGTTTGGCTTCCTGGTTTGACATTTCAAACGTAACTTCCGTGTGAGTGAAAGAGAGAATCCAGCCAACTGTTTGGGTAGGGCTGAATTAAGTACATGTACATCTACCTGTAACTGTTTTGCTGTTTCACTTTTTTGCTTGAGGAAGTTGATATTGGTAAAAAAAATTTTAGGGGGATGTCTTGTAGCTCTTTGTATACATCATGTACATACATGTACATACGTGTTGATGTGTTCACCCTTTGCAGTGTTCAGAATTATGCTTTTGGACATAATGGTACATATACCCCACATGTGCTGTAGGCAGGTGCATGCATTTACATATGCTATATGATGACTGATGAAGTTGGAAATAAATACATGTACATTTACCATATGTACATTGTAAATGTTGGTGACAGCAGCTTATAATGTACATACTGTACATGTATGTACTGGTCAATTTATGCACTTCCTGGTTTGGCTGGTAGGTTATGTCTTTAAAAAGTCAAAATGGAGAGGAGAAAAATCATACACTGTAAATGTCCATGTACACGTAGTTGTATTAGCAAAATCAACCTACATGTACATGTAGGTACATGTACATTTGGAAATAGGTACTCTACACTTATTTACTTTTTTCCATTAAAATTGGTCACACATGTAGCGGTACGTGATAACAAGTACATGTGCATGTACTGGTACACCCACATGTACATTAATTGCATGTACATGTATTGTGTGCTATAGTCATCAGGAACATAAATGCCTATAGCAGCCGACATTGACCAAAATAAAGGAAATCAGTACCAGCATTGTTGTACATGTATGTAATTCGCATTTACATACATGCACATGTACATACAGATGCGTGTACATGTATGCATGCTTGGCATGGAGAACTAAAATGGGCTATATGCATTATACGTTGATGAATTCCTACATTCTGTTACTTTCGACAAAAGTCATTTTAGGATTTGAGTTACATGTACGTGTACAGGCACATGCATTGCTTAATTTAAAAAATTGAATGTACGGACCTTTCAAAGGACATGTACATGTACATGTACTTGTATGTTTTCTCATGGCAGAGGGGTACATGTACATTTATTGTACAACATGTGCAACATGTATAGTTGGAGACAAAAAGAAAATAGATATAGATGTGTTTAATTGTTTATGTTTATATTTGCTCATTCTATGCAATTGTTTATCTGTATAAGCCGAGTATTTAAACCAAATGTCGCATTGGATCCATCAGAGTATGGAGAATTTCTTCATTGCCGAGGAAAGAAGTTTACTGACTTTGATGAGATACGGAAGGAGATTGAAGCAGAGACGGATCGTATCACTGGCAGCAACAAAGGCATTTCACCGATACCCATCAATCTAAGAGTTTTCTCACCTCATGGTCAGTGATAAAAGATTTCATCTGTTTAGAGGATTAAATATTGTAAATACTTACATTATGTATGACTTCTGCGTAGCACTGGCCCCTGAATTGAAAGATCAAATTGAACGAACCATGATGCGTGTTCTTGTTCATATACCGGTACATGTATTGTAAGCCCACAACTTGTGTGAAAAATCATGATATTTGGGAGATTGACAACTGCTAGGGTGACAAAAGCTTGTGTTTTCTTAACCTACCACATCTGTGTGTGAACTTTTTACTTGGGACAAGGGTTGCAGTGGGAGTGTTTGTCGTACAATATCGTCATTCTAGATAAACTATTTCCCTTTTCAAATTTAAACATTTTGTATCCCATTTCAAATTTAAACATTTGGGTTCTCTTATACTTGCCATTTTTGCAATACATGGGTCAAAGGTTAATGCATGTTAATGTATATGAACATTGCATGTTACTGTAACAACACTGATACATGTATTTCTTTGCTGGTTATTACCTACTGTATGTCCCACGTACATGTATAACTGTATATGGTCTTCATTATTAGTTTTATAAGGCCTTTTAAATTTTTTTAAGTTTATCATAATCAGTTCTTCTTTTCTGCATTTGTAATTTCTTTTTCAGTTCTGAACTTGACTCTGATTGATCTGCCTGGAATGACAAAGGTTCCAGTTGGTGATCAGCCTGCAGATATTGAGATACAGATTCGAAGCATGGTTATGGAATTCGTCTCAAAGGAGAACTGTCTCATTTTAGCTGTTTCTCCAGCCAACTCAGACTTGGCAAATTCAGATGCCCTCAAAGTTGCTAAGGAGGTTGATCCATCAGGTAAACATTGGAAACTACATGTACTTCATCAATATGCTATTTCCATCCAGTCTTCATGTACTTCTTTATCTCTCCCAAGTTTGTACCTACATTGTACATGTACCAATGTTCGCTCTTGTCAATGGCTACTTGGATTAGAGGCTTACCCTACTCATCCAAAATTCTCCATCCACATGTACACAATTCCACTTCATGAACACGTGATGGTTTCCAGAAGTGCCTATAAAAGGCTACACTTCTGTTGTACGGTATATCACCTGCTACATGTATACTTAAATGTAGTTTTACAAATTACTGTACTTTTGAGGTCCTTGGAGGGATTTAGAGACTGCAGAATCTTCAGAAACTACTGGTTGCAGGAATTGTCAGTTCATTTCATTTCCACTTATACATGTCAAAACAGTGAATCCATTAACACTTTTAAATGAAAGCAAGTAATCAATAGTAAGTTAATCACAGCATTTGTACATCAGCAAATTCTAAGTGCAGTTTTTTCTTCTCACACACTAGCTCTTGTTATCTGTTGTGAGTTATTGTTTGCAATTAATTAATTCTCCAGGACTTAAGATGTTTCCAAATTGACAGTGATTCACTTCTTTAAATTGACATGATTCCCTTGTAGGTGCACGCACAATTGGAGTGATTACTAAGCTGGACTTGATGGATGATGGAACTGATGCTAGGAACATCTTGGAGAATAAACTCCTTCCACTCAGGAGAGGTAAAGACCAGTAATATTGTGTAGGGCTGCAAGTAAGTGCCAAGGTTCGGTTTGGGTTTGGTTTCAGATACAGTTCGGAAATTTTTCGTGGAACTTCAGTTCGGTTCGGGTTTGGACATGTACACACATGTACATGTACAATGATCTGTCAATGCACATTGGAGACATTGGAGAGCTAACTACAAATATACCATAGTACTTCCGTGTATGAAGTACATGAATACAAGCAGCAAATCTTCTTCTTCATCCCTCATCCACGAGCAACATATTTTTTTGTAAACTGTTTCACCAAAATTTATTTAGGAGGTGCAATTCCATAGAATGTTACTATCAGAGGCATTTTCTGACTGTGTTCCGCCTACCAAAATCGGTTGTGTTTGGATCACGCTTGACTTAACAGAACGATTGTAGCATATAACAGAAAAAACAGCATGCTCAAATAGGAGTTCCCTACTTTACAGGATACAAGATCAAATTAGATTTTGAGCAAATTGTGTTTTAATTATTTGTAATGAAATGGATTCAACTACCAAACTATGGCATTCGATATATTCAAAGAACCTTGGTGTCAAGTCAGCATTCTTTTCCAGGACGGCACCCACATGGGAAAAGGGGCGATTTTCCATCAGTCTTGTTTCGAACTGATCGTCATTTTGTTATTTGAGATTTTTGAACAACATCTGGCAAAATTCTATCACAACGTATACATACAATGACTTGAGCAAATGAAAGGTAAGTTTATTTGGCCACCGTGAGCTCCAAATCTGGTTCGCACTGAATCACTGCTCTGCCCAGCAAAATTGGCCTTTTCTCCAGAGTTGTCTTTGATCGATCATTACAATCAGCATCGAATAAAAATTCGTTTTGTATGGCCATTTATGACATGATTGGCCTAATATGGAATGTAAGGACGTAGCTATTGGAGACTGGCTATCTGAATATACATAAGCTTAATTGGATGTAATGAGAATTTAGCATTCTTAAGCAGCGTAAATGCCGTACCTTGCATGTTCCCGGTTGATTATTAGTGAATTCTCACCACATGCATTTTATAACCAGCGTGTGATGCAGGGCTATCGTAAGTCAACTGTAGATGTAAAGTACATGTGTACACACAAATGTGCCGAGGTTTGCGGTCTAACTCATTATCCAGTTTTTGTTGCATTTGCTTTTTTGTCATGTTTTCTTGTGTGCATTCTGTTTGCTATCAGTGCCATGCCATATTAAAGTCGAACATCTGAATGAACCAATTCTGTTCGGTTCAGTTCGAAAGTGCCATGTTTGATGATTTTTGTTTCAGTTCGGTGGTTCGGCTGCAGCTCTAATTGTGTGTTCGGTTTTTTTGTTTTTGGATTAATTTACATGTAGTTTGAGATATACATGTAACTTTACACAAGTTTCCCCTGTTAAAAGCAATGAAAGAGCCTTATATACCAGTACATGCTTACTTTATTTTTTTCTGTCCAAGTCATGCCTTTGTTTTGTTTCTGAAGACTTTTTTACTGAAGGCATTAAAGACATTTTTATTTCTTGTTATTGAGAAGGACAATTGCTTATGACTATAACATAGTCCTGTATTTTCTACTTTTGTTTCTTTTGCACTATGTTTCTACAGTATCTTAAAAAAGAAATCTAGTGAATAGAACTATATACATGTATAGTATTCTTTGTTGCTCCCATTGACTTGATGACAATTGTTACAGGCTACATCGGTGTAGTCAACAGAAGTCAGCGAGACATTGATGGCAAGAAAGACATCAAAGCAGCCTTGGCTGCTGAGCGTAAATTCTTCTTGAGCCATTCTTCATACCGTCACATGGCTGATAAGATGGGGACACCATTTCTGCAGAAAGTACTCAATCAGGTGAGAGAGTAGCCTCATACCATGTACATGTAGATGTTGCTTCAAATGGGAGATTGCCACCCGTTAATTTCAAATTTGAGAGTTGAAGCATTGAATGCAAGCATCCAGGCTGGCGAACATCGCTCATAGGAATGTTTGTTTAGTTAATTTTTTTTTTGACAAATCATGCTGTTAATTTTCAAGTTCACACATGATGTACATGTGTTGGTTACCTCCTGTAAGTTTTTATTCAAGTCCGCACTTATTTCAGCACTTCCCCATTTTAAATGAGAGATTATAAAAGCAATTACTGTGTTCTGATCAAGATGTTTTCTCCTTGCAGCAACTGACCAATCACATCAAGGATACTCTTCCAGCACTGAGGAACAGACTCCAGCAACAACTCCTGTCCTTGGAGAAAGATGTAGCAGACTTCAAGAATGTCAATTATGATGATCCAACACGCAAAACTAAACACATGCTGCAGTAAGCTGTTTCTGTAAAGATTTTTTGAATCTGTGTTTCTCCTCTCTGTAACCTCTTCAAATTGAGTGCATTGAGGTTGAAGTTTTTAAACCTAACTAATGCTGGCCCAAGCCATTCTTTGGAAACTTTTTGTTCATTTAAACACATTCATTGTGGGTATAACTGTAAAGTTTAATTCAATCCATTTGATCATTCATAGTTTACACTCTAACCCTAACAGTCCTCAATCCTTCACCTGTTGGAGGATTGAGGACTGTTAGGGTTAATGTTGATTGATGTATGCATTTTGCATGGCAACTTCAAAAAGTTGGGTAATTTTGGACCGCCTATCTGGGAAATAATTTCCATGAGAAATGCCTGATTTTCAGGATATTAGTGTCATAATATCAGCAAGACAAAGGAAAAAACCTCTGAAAGGTTTTTGAAGAAAGTTTGGTGAAAAAAGTGTTGAAACAAAATGAATGTATGGGTGTTGGAGGTTTTATCCCCGGCTCAGCTTTGATGAAGTTTATGCGTTAGATTGAGTGTAATCAGTCATGAATGACATATTCTTAAGTTCCAAGTGAAATGATATATTTGCACAAAAGGTCAACTGAAGTTCATCGGAAAGCAAACCTGACTTTATGAAAAATGGTTGACCTTGAGATATGTGGTGACTGTTACACAAGAACTCTGTCTTTATAGTCTTTTTCTTCATGCAATTTAATGTTTATAATTTAATTTCTAGGATGGTTCAGCAGTTTGGAGCTGACTTTGAGAAACGTATTGAAGGGTCAGGAGATGAAATAAACACCATGGAGTTGTCAGGTGGTGCCAAAATCAACCGTATCTTCCATGAACGCTTCCCATTTGAAGTGGTGAAGATGGAATTTGACGAGAAGGAATTGAGGAGGGAAATCAGCTTTGCTATCAAGAATATCCGTGGTGTCAAGTAAGCGAAAATGTTGGAATGAAAGAAATTAAAAAGTCTGATCTTCAGTTTTCTGAAAAATGGAAGGGGTATGTTTTGTTAAGGGAATAAATATGTGCGTATTTAAGACGAGGTCAGGAGAATGGAAGCGACTAATGCCCAAGCCGCAGGTGAGGGCATTATCAGCGTTTGTTCTCCAGAGCAAGGTCTTAAATGTTAGTTGACGACTGGCCAAGCACATATTTATTCCCATTCATAAATACCTTTTTATTCAGAGGGTCAAAAGAAGTCAACAGATGATGAATTTCCAACGATTTTTGTTCTAAAGCTTTACTTCCATTTTCCCAAACACCCCTGTCCATTTTATGGTATATTCGTTTTGAAAGTTGCCCAATAGAATCTCCTTCAATGAACTTAACGCTTGCGTGGCACGTTGCATGTACACAGACTCCTGACCGATCAGACCCAATTAAACTGTCTCATATCCATGTGCCAGTGCCTGATTTATGCAGCGGGCTATATTACTTCTCAACGGGCATTATCAAATGTTAATACACGGTCACGTAACGCGTTTCGACCAACAGGAAAAGAAAAAACTGTCCCAGATATTTATGAATGCCAGACGATTGTGTGCCATTGTATCTCAGTGTGAGAAGAAACAGAGAAAACTCCAGTTCCAAGAGACATACTCGCAGATTATCAGGTCTGATGGAATTGTTTGGAGTTGGGGAATAAAATTTATCATATGCACATCAACAGGTGTTGGCCAGTCTTTTAACCATACATCATTTGCTTGTTATCATAAAGCCAAAAAGCATAAAGGAAACTTATTTCATAGCCTACAAAAATCAATCCTTTAAAAATTCCATTGGAATGTTTACATGTTTAATGATAACAGCATGATGGCACGCCTGCTAGAAGTTTCATTTAAACTGTTTGCTCCAAATTTTGCAGAGTTGGTTTATTTACCCCTGACATGGCATTTGAGGCAATCACCAAACGACAAGTGGCAAGGCTTAAGGAACCATCACTGAAATGTGTTGACATGGTCACCAACGAGTTGAATAATGTTGTCCGACAATGTGGGGAAAAGGTAAGGTGTTACAAGGAGGAAGCCTGACCGGACATTCATTTCCAACTCACTGTCAGTTTCTTCTGTAAGCAGACAGACTCTTGGGATTTTTTTCAAGGTTTGTTTTTTATTATTTTTTTTCTTTAAAGATGCAACGTTACCCACGTTTGAGAGAGGAAACAGAAGGTATTGTTACCAGACACATTGCAAACAAAGAGCAGAAAACAAAGGAGCAAGTTCTGCTGCTGATCGACTACCAGTTGGCTTACATGAACACAAACCATGAAGATTTTATTGGATTTGCCAAGTAAGTTATTTATTACTTAGGTTGTACTTTCCAGTTAGCTGAAAACAGTCATGACAATGGAATAAAAGCAGGTTGACCTCAAACTAGTTCTTCTGTACATGTACTTTAGTCCCTTCTGGACTAATAGCAGAAAGTATTGGAATTTTGCCACTTGAATCCTGAGAAATTTGTTGCAAAAGAATGTTGGATGAATGCCACTCACTTGAAATGGAAACACTGTCTTCTTATTTAAAGGTAAATACCGTCCTTTTAGTTCTTTTGAGATGCCACCTTTGTTCTAGGATAGAAATCTGTGGATTGGACGTAATGATACATGTTTTAAGTGTTAAATCATGTGTTTATTCTCATGAATCATGAACTTCCTTTTACTGTTTAACAACTTGTCTCTCCTCCAGTGCCCAAAAGTCTGAAAAACAGTTTTCAGTGAATAGAGAGAAGAAAAATTTAGGCAATCAGGTAACACAAAGGTGTACGTTAAACTGTACGTTAAACTGTAAGCCTGCAAACACTTGCTTGTTGCTCCAATCTAACCTCACAGAGTTTTTTTTTACTAACCTTGTAACTGTGCTGGTAGTTTGTCTTTATGCCTCAATGTCAGCTTTGTCAGATTGCTTACGACTGATGTGTTGCAAGTTTTGAAGGGTTACCTCCGTTTATTGCCCCTTTTGGTTGTTCAAACATGCATCTCGTATATATTGCAAAAGCAAACAGCAAAATTCTCTCATTTCAAGTCTGGTAAAACTTTACTCCATTCATGCAACCATTCAGTGTAAGTGACGGAAGTAACTGCTCAGAATCTTTCACCATTGTTCCTGCCTTGGTGCAGCCTCACTAACTGGAAGTACAGTGTTTTGTTTTGGGGGTTTCATCTATTTTCCTTCTTTCTATCGAACTGGTAGTGCTGCAGCAGCATCACGACGTAGCACTGGTAACAATCCTAATGCACCAAAGACACGGTCTGTCACCAACCAGGTATTTATTGTAAAAAGAAGAAGGCCTTTGGGCCTGTGGTGTGTATACAGGACCATGGTTAACAATGATGCCAATGCATCAATGGTACACTTGCCTAGTTACGAACTGGGTATTTTGCAATGAAATGAACATGTGAACAGTGAATGTAAATGTATCAACCACTTCATCATTTAATTGGACGTTTATGTAAACCATGAAGTAATACAAAAAGTGCCTGGACAACATGTACTTCATATTGAATTGCATATTGTAACACATTTCATGCATTTTGTCTGATTGACCCCATACATATATCAAGGAAGAATATATGAGAAAGCGGAGCAAAAAATAAAATAAAAAAACAAATAAATCAATGCATATAAAGGATTTTAGAATCTGTTATCACCACATTTACTGATTCTGATCTAGTCTAGGTCAAATGTTCTCCATTACCGCACCTCCTTTGTCTTTTTTATTAATTTTTCCCAACATGTGTTAATTCATAAATCTGAAGATCATGCCATTATTCACGTCAATCTTCATAATGTTTTGGCGGATTTTTATGTTTGAAAAAATTAAAGCTAAGTCACTACTCTAGGTAAACTACTTATTAAGTCCAGGCTGTTTTTGCACAGCTTTGTCTCATCCCATTCAGAATGCATACATGTACATGTACATCCTTGCTGTTATTGCTGAACTGTCAGGAGGATAAAAGTAAACTGAGACTCTGAATGCCAACTGTGACTAATGTGTCACTCATACACAGTGAAGTAATATTAATTCCAGTTAATGGCCAGTTGTAGCCAACATTTAAAATAGTTGGGTAGAGTTAATGAACCCATTCAGGCAAGATATTAATCTTTAGAGGAAAGCACTCGGCTACTTTTGATTCATTATGAAGTCAAGTAAAAAATCGTGGTATCATTCACATAGAACTCACACAGAATTGAACTGGGTGTTCCTCCTTTTGTTATAGTTCAGATATTTTGTCAAGGACTTTTGATTCTTTGTCTGACAAATACAGTGAGTGGTCCAAAACTGTCCACTGTCTGACTGTAATTCATTTGACATGTACTTTACAAGAGATGAGAAGATGACTAATTGGAGTAAATAGGCAAGCCACATGCATACATTGGACTGCCAATTGTTATCTGAGATTTCACAACTGGACTTCAGAGTCAAAAATATTATTCACAGGATAGCCAGAGAGACATCGTGATAAGTTTAACCATGGAGACAAGTTGACCAATAGGAATAATCATTTTAATGAATAGTCGCATATTGTAGTTGGTTACATATTACGTTCTAACCGAGCAAATCATTTACATATTCATGTCATGTTTTGAGTGGGGTCACTGTTTGCATGTTTGCAACATTGTCTTATGTTTATTTCAACATCACAATTTTAATTTTTGTCATTATTGCTTTCATTGTGGTATTGTCTTGTGAGTGTGCATGTTTACTTAACAAAGTGAGTGTGCATGTTTACTTAACACAGTGAGTGTGAATGTTTACTTAATATTGTAGTTCATTGCATTTGCTATTTTCGTATTCAAAGGAATCCAATAAGTACTTTTCAGAAATGGCTGTATTCACTTGTTTAATAATGTCCCACATTATGCATGTATGCAATGTGATGGGTTATTTAATATGGTTGGAGCACTGTAATGTGAACTCAGTTTCAACTTTTGAATTTAAAATTGAAATATTTGTTTTGAATATTAAAATGGGAAAGCTGTGTGTTACAATGACCATTGTTAATATTATTACAGGTTATTCGCAAAGGCTACATGAATATGCATAATGTCAGTTTTATGAAAGGAGGATCCAAGGACTACTGGTTTGTCTTGACTGCTGAGAGTATTTCCTGGTTCAAGGATAATGAGGTATGAAACATGCAGAAATATGTCAAAGGTTTCTGGCTATTTGGTAGTCCTCATTTTGTTGTCATTAACCCTCCTATGCAAAGACACATTCTTGACACAGTTGTCCTATCAGTTAAACAAGTCAAATTTCCCAGATGTGTCTTTGTACGAGGGAAATCAAGTGGAAGGAATTTTGGACTGTTTTTGATGGTTACAGCAAAAGGAGGATTTTAAGCTTCAAATATCATGTCATTTTCTCTTTTGTAATCTGATATGTCACTGATGCTTATAGCTGAACAGTTCAATGAAATGGACCAATAACTTTTCCAGTTGTTTAAACATGTTTGTACATGTTTTTGGTGTGTGATAAAATATGGACTGGTTTGGCCATTTTCCTTGAAGCAAAATTGTAGCTGCAACTTTTTAAATAGCTTTCTGACCATAATTTTGTAACTATGCTTGTAGTTAACAGCTTATTTCTGAGCAGGTATTACATTCTCAACTTGGAAGGAAAATTGCACTACCTAACCAGAATTTTCTTGACATTTGGCAGCTTTCTCTTTTCTAGATTATCTTGCTTTAAGTTTCTCTCTTCCACTTGATTGCTTTCTTTTGTAGGAAAAAGATAAGAAGTACATGCTGCCTTTGGATGGTCTTCGACTCCGTGATGTTGAGTCTGGTTTTATGTCTCGTCGACATTGTTTTGCCCTTTTCCTTCCTGATCAAAGGTACATGTATTGTATACATCACTGTTAGTATTGTCATACTAAATCAAGTGGTCATTAATGAGTGAATTGTCTACATATACCAATTTACTGTAAACCCGTTGACTACAGTCTGACAGTGCATCTGTGACATCTTAATGTGTGAAGTGTTAGTTAGATTTGTGATCAGTAAACTCAATAAAGGGACGGTGCTGTGTTTAAAAGAGTTTTTAATACATGTAATTTGAAATTGTCTTCATATGTGGACCTGCCATTGACATCTGGGTTTACATGCTAGTTGGGGAGATGTTAATTTATAATGGGTTTTGCCCTTACCCATCGTATGTATTAATAAAACACTGTATGCTCAGTGCTTGTCTGAGAGCTTGCAAAAAAAAAATAGCATCTCCCCAACGCAAAATACATCTCCCCAACGCAAAATACATCTCCCCATCGCAAAATACGTCTTGAAATAGTTCCCAGTACCCGCTGCTACACCTGACTCGGACCGGCCAGCTGACCACGGCAAGGTCGGTGGTCCAGTGGTTAAGACGTGTGCACTAGTAAGCAGGAGGTTGTGGGTTCGAGTCCCACCTGAGTAAGCTTGTGAATTTTTTTGCAAGCTCTCAGACAAGCACTGAGCATACAGTGTTTATTAATACATACGTTGGGTAAGGGCAAAACCCGTTATAAAGTAACGTCTCCCAACGCAAAATACATCTTGAAAAACCATAAGAAACTTTACTCAATGTACCACACTGACGAGAATTTCAGGAAAATTTGACTTTGTGAGACGAACAGTCACAACCAAATTTATGTTATATAGTCAGTCAGTGTCATTTCATCCAGATCATCCATGCATTAAATCCACTATTAACTCATTTAATTCGGCATTCACAAAGAAATGTCTATAAGGACTACAAGCAACTGGAGCTGTCATGTGACACATCAGAAGAAGTTGACAGTTGGAAGGCATCTTTCCTCCGTGCTGGTGTGTATCCTGAACGAACCAAGGATGAAAACGAAAGTGATGATGCGGTATGTGTTTTGTCTGAAATTGAAATTTATTTGTTTATTTTGTCCCATGGTAAGTCTTAAATGAGTTTGGTGTCTGTTATCTTTGAAAAATCTTACAAGGTATTGACGTAATTGCAGACAAGACATGATTGTCATGGATTTATTAACATTTAATCTCTCTTCACCTGGTTTTCAAAGGGGTGCTTTATACCTTGATTTTACCTGCTTTTGCCCTTGTCAGTCCTTAGTCATGTTTTGCCTTTCCCTGGAACCCCAGTAGCAGCTTGTTGTCATAGATGCCACAAATCACACAGTCTTATTTTTCTTCTGTTTTTTCTAGTCATCTGGTGATACCATGGGATCTATGGATCCACAGCTTGAGCGACAAGTGGAGACCATTCGCAACCTTGTGGATTCCTATATGAAGATAGTCAGTAAGCAGATTCGTGATATTGTCCCCAAGATATGCATGCATCTTACCATCAATGACGTAAGTAACTTAATAATTTACCTGCTTTGTGTCTTAGTCTTTCCATTTTCATATCATTTATGTGCCTGCAGCTACCTTCGCATAAGAATGGTATTTAGGTAGATCAGTCTTAGGGCTGTATTTTCAGTTTCTTCCTCTCAGTTCCAAGTTCCAGACTGAAATGAAAAGGACTAGACTGTCGACTTTAAATGAATTAAGTTCAGTGCCACTTTAACAAACACCGCTATTACTATTATCCCTCTTTCCATTCTCCCCTAATGATCTGCTTCTCCTTTTTCCTGTCCAATTGTGCTTTTTATTTTGATATCTTTGCTAGTTTATTTATTTGAACTCAGATCCATTACGTTTGTTAACAATTTTGAGCTTTTTCCATACTTGTGTTTCATTTCAGACGAAGGATTTTATTCTGGGTGAATTGTTGGCTCATCTTTACTCAACGGGGGATCAGGTAATGAACCAGTGTTTTGCAGATTAATAGTGTCATCTACAACTGTTATTATTTCACAATGGTCAACCTTTGCCATTCCTATTTGGCTAAACATTGGTATTATTTGGTAAAAATGACCTCTTGAAAAATTCACGGCAAGCAGCGTTACTTTCAAATTTATTATTTGCTGTTGAATATTGCCACTTAATACAAGATCAGTGTAATCTTAGCTCAGATTGACGGAAATGGTTAAGTTTTCACCTGCCGTATTTTAAAATCACAGTGAGTTTAGCACAGAATTGAAGGACTTGATAGTTAAGTTGTTATTTCAAGGATTCTCTGATGGAGGAAAGTCAAGAGGAAGCTCAGAGACGAGAGGAAATGCTGAAGATGTATCATACAACCAAGGAGGCACTAAAGATTATTGGTGACATCAACATGACAACTAAATCAGTGCCATTGCCTCCACCAGTGGATAACGATGATTTGATTAAACCATTCGCTAATGGGTAAGTTGACTCAAATATTTAAGATTCTTAATAATAAACACTGCCTTATACTTGCTTTGCTCTCTGTTACATGTATATCTAAATGTCATTGATATTTCCTTTCACACCTGCACATACTCCAGCTTCGATNAACCCACTTCAGTTTCCATGGTCTGTAGTAGGCCTTGCTATAATTTGTGTATCTGTCTGTTAATATCCTGATGCTCTTTTTGGACCCACTTCAGCTTCCATGATCCGTAGTAGACCTGCTATAATTTGTGTATCCATCTGTTGATATCCTGATGTTCTTTTTTGACCCACTTCAGTTTCCATGGTCTGTAGTAGACCTGCTCTTAGTTGTGCATCTGTCTGTTGATATCCTGTGCTCTTTTTTAACCCACCATAGTTTCCATGATCTGTAGTATTCCTGGTAAGGCACCAAGTCAAAATAGAAACGGTTCATGTAGTGGGAAACGATACATAAACGATAAGCTGCTTACCCACTTCAGAGTAAAGCGGGCAATGATAGGGAGTCACTAGCTAAATGCTTGTGGTTTGATGAACACCACTCCTGGGTGATGTTTTCTAACAATAGAGAGCTTTAAGGATTACACTCCATTGTGGCTGGTGGTTGAGTCATTAGAGCTGTTTATCAACAGCTGGGACCCCAGCCCATGGATATGTCAACAATTAGGGGGGGGGTTAGGGATGGGTTTATACTACCGTTTAAATGGATGAGGATTTTTTTCTTCAGTTTGCCACGCTACCCTTACCAACATTAGTGGACTTTTCTTATTTCACTTTTTAGATTGATTTTGAAGTCCTGTGATTGTTGCATCTATAATCTCCTCCATTTACTCTATTGTCGAATCCAATTATTGACAAATCTGTGATGTGGAAATCACTGCCTGACAGTGCTAGATTTTGGGAAAGAAAACTACAGATCTAAATTCAGTGACACGAGACTTAGTGATGCACATAGGCCTGCCGACTATGATGGAGTTAGTCTTTTGTTAAGAGATTGATTGCTTCCCCTTCTGAATAAGCTGTGCTAAGCCTGTGGATGAACTGGCCCAATTTACACAACAAAGCTGATGCACAATAACCATTCCTGGTAAGCTGGGAGTCAGGGCTTTTGTACCAAGGTGGGGGAGTGGTAATATGCATCAAAGGGGTTGCCGCCTAGCCAATTCTCTTTCGGGAAACGGTGCCTTGCAACCATTACCCACTTGCAGTTGAATCGGGCAACGGTTTGAAAGGGGATTAAGGGCAACCATTTCCCGCTTGGTCAACCGTTTCTATTTTGACTTGGCGCCTAAGCCTTCTGAATCTGTGATATACTGATCCTGTTCTCCTTTCAGACCTACTCCAGCTTCCTCAGGATCAGCTGCAAGGAGACCAGGACCAAGTGGCCCTCCATCTAGGCCAGCTCCAGGCTCTTCAGCTGCACCTGCATCAAGACCGTCACCTACTCCTATGATCCCAAGCAGGCCTGATATGCCTAGCAGACCAGCTCCAAGTATCCCAAAGTAAGAAGACCCATGAAATCAAATAATCAAATGCATATTTAGCACAAGATCCCACAACAGTGGATATTAGCTTGTCGTGGTTTATGCCAAAATGTTGTATATTCAGTCGGTCATGTTTCATCGTTGGTAAACTCGAATGTGTTCCCCTTGTAACCCAAGGCATAAGAGAACAAGCTGAACAAATTCTAGCTTGGCAGGAAACACAAAGAGCTTGTTCTCTACATTAAGGCTTGTATTCAAGGCATATTCTTAGTAGCAAACACATGTATAGTCGACTCTCGGTAATACGAGCTCAGGTAAGACGAGACTCTGGTTTAGACGAGGATATTTGCCAGTCCGGACTGAATTGTGCACATTCCTATGAGGGAAAAAACGTGTAATACGAGCTCGGATGTTACGAGATTTCGGTTAAGACAAGCATTTTTTGTGCACTGGTTGAGTGCAAACCTATTAATACAGTCGACTCCCGTTATTACAAGGGCTGGCGGACTTTCACAATTCTGTCGTTACAGCTGGAGCGTCGTTAAAACCGGAGCGCAATTTTTCACACTCATTTTGTACAAGTTTATAGCCACGTACATGTTTGTTGGAATCATGTACAGGTACACCGATACCGCCCGCCGAACACACGAAAAGACGATGTTATGTGTCTCTTATTGATGCTGAATTTTTATCTAATGGTGATGAATAAAATGATATAAATAAAGTACATTTAAAAGTCAAATATTTGACAACCTGGATCAGAAGAAGCCAAGAAGAATAGCCGAGTGAGAAGAAACATTCAAGTCCGTGCCGATAAGTACATGTACGTCACACGTCCTGAGTGTACATTTTGCTTTCGTCATGAATTGGCTAAAACCAGTCAAAATAGGGCGCCATTATTACCAGTACCAGTATGTCCGGGTATGTCATTGATTAAAGATTGGCGAGATGAAACAACATTACCTTGAAGTTCTCACAAAGGTGCATTGATAAGGCGTTGACAGACTGGGAAAACGTATGATGCCCGAATCGGGACCAAAGGTTTGTCGTTGACAGCTGCAGATAATACGGTTTGGAAAAAAGTCGCTGCAAATGGGTTGAGAACAATACTTTTGCTGGCATGGGGTCGGTACAAATCGTCGTAGGCGGAGTCTTGCAATATTCGTGCACGTAATAACCAAATATTTCTCAATAGCAATGAACACAAATTGTTCGGGACTGGGAGAATATGCTCGTTGCATCCGGGTTATCGTTATGACCGAGAACGGGAGTCGACTGTATCTGTCTATCTAGCACAAGCTTTTTTGAAGGCGACTTGTCAATCAGCCAGTCCATTCAATTTTGAAAGGTCCTTCCGTAATTTATGCGTGTACAGTAGAACAGCACTTCAGTTTTCCCTCACTGAATTGAGCTGTTTATGTCCGGTGCTGCAAGAGTGACGAACAGTGGGCGTTTGTGGTTCCCGTACCCAACGTAGAAATTCTGTGTGGTGGCACTCGTACTGCCTGAAAACAAGCAAGTGCAGCCAAAAGTGCTACGGTATTTAGGACAGTGGTGAACAAAAGAAATCTTTTGTTTGATTCCCCACCCCCCAAAAATTCCCCAAGACCAAAGTCCCCCAAAGTTGTGTTCCATAACGAAACACCCAGCCCAAAACTGCCCACCCTCCGTCTTAAAATTGTTACCCACTCCCTACTGTAACATAAAAATATCACCCCCTCCGATTTTGACATTTCTATAAATTCCTAATTTAAGAAAATCATGACTAAACCGTGGTTTTCAGTCCAAAAATGTTTAAGAAAATAACAACCACAAGTTTTGAAGAAAAAAGTTTATCCCTTGCAAATAATTTTTCACCAAATCCACATGCCTTTCCAAAGTAAAATCCGATATTCGCCCTCTGCTGTCCACACCACCAACAGCTGGTTTCCTCACATTCTTATGTGCAACAAGTGCAGCTCAGGTGTTGGTTACTAACTAAAATGTTAATATACTTACGTTACGTGTGTGCATGTGGATCTCATTTTGGCATGCAGGGCCGGGGACGTGTCGCTCCGAATCGACATGACTGGTGGAAATTCCACTTCCTCCATTCTTACATTTTGTAATTATTTATTACAAGTCTTTATTCATTAAACTGTATCTCACTTTCATAAACAAACTTTTTAAAATAAAATTTGTGTAATAAAACGATACTATGTGCCTTTGAACAAAAAGTTATGCACACTTGTAGTTGTACACATGTACGCTTTACGTTCGGTCGATTGGTGATACATATGTCGAGCAGGATGGCAGCTTTCGCATAAGACGAGGTTCGGATAATACGAGCTAATTTAGGAAGTCCCAAGGCCAAGAGTCGACTGTATATCACTTTGATCTTGAAGTCTTTTTTTCCAGTACTTAAACAGCTTTTCTGTGTTTTTCTTTCTGTGCTAATGTAGGCGTCCAGCTGGATCTGCAGCACCACCCATACCAGGCCGACCTGCTGTCCCTGCCCGCCCACTGTAAATTAGTTATCGTGCCCTTTGCTTGTTAATCTGTTCTTCCTGCCTGCCTGCCTACCTTGAACACTTAGCTATGCCTATTCCTGGTGTTGCTACTTGTTCCTGCCTGCCCAAACCATCAGCTGACCCCCCCCTCCAGGTCAAGTCTATCAACGGAAATATACAGGTAGTCAAGTAAGAGCATAGTAAGAGTATTCTTACACGCCGAAGCCACAAAATAGTTAGATCACAGAATGTTTTGATGGTTGGTAATTAAATATGCTACACTATATGGCAGGAGTATCAGCAAGTCCTTGATAGGATTAGCATCATTGTAAGCTGCCCTTGATTGTTCTTGCTTTTTAAACATGCATGTACCATTTATTCAACAGGTTGTAAAAGCCCTACTTCTTATCAGTCATACAATAATGAAGCTACTTTCTAGATACATACAACCAAATGCATTATAGTGTTAAGTCCCTCAACAATACAATGAAAAATACAACTTGTACCAAGCTAGCTGTTTGAACTTGTTTGTGTAATGGTGAATATACTTTCCAACATTTGTTCATCAGTTTAGTTCGGTTTTCATTTTTATAAAAGCATGTGAAAGCAAGTTTGCATAATTGTCAATGTTTGCCAGAAACTGACGTAGGGAAAGCAAGAATCCCATTAGAAGACTTCATCAAAATCGAGGAAGTTAATATTTGTGAATTGAAATGGCATTAAATCAAAGTGATGAAATTTTGAAACAAATTTATTTCCTCTCCATGTTTTTCTTATTTTAATTCTGCAAGCATGAACAACTGAAACTTTTGCGATGTTAAAAATGAAAATAACCTGTTTCTCAGTGGCAGCTTTCTTTTACTTGGTAGAAAGAGCAAAAAGACTGTATGAGTGTTGATGCTCTTATTGCAGAGGTTTTGGCTGTGTGGGGTTTGTGTATTTCAGCTGTTTGCGGAAATCTGTGAATAGTGTTTAAAAACAAATTAATATTTCAATTGGTTTTTGCATTTTATGTGAGAAACTGCTTTGTTAAACAAATCTGTGTGGTATAAATGTACTCTAGCTGCAAACTTTAATCTGACCTCTAAATTGTCTTGATAGTAGAATTTGGGTGTTTCTTATATTGACATTACAAGAGAGTAGTTGATACATAGTTCATGTACTCTACGCTATGGAAACTCTACCCATCAGTTTCTTTTTTTTTCAATGTTGATTTGAGGTAATATCTTACCAACTTGGACAATTGTTCAATAGTGACATGTACATGTAGTCTTGAAAAACAGCACTTCATAGGGGTTAATTGATATGGTAATCGATTGACATTGAGACAAAATGTTTACAAATTTAAGCTGTCTCACTGCCATGGAATGCCACTGAGATGCTTATGTCTTAATGTAAACATTTTGCGGGATGAGTCCTTTACAATTCAGGCGTATTGTGATTGCTCTGAGTTGATGAGTTTAAAGAAATCCTTGTAAATGGGACAGAAGGCAAAATATCAGATTTCCATGAGTTTAAATGTATTTATGTCTTGTAATAATATATCAGTCTAAAGAAAATAATGTTAAGATTTCTGGAAACCAGAGTTTATCAAACCTAAAGGATTGTGTATTATAGACAAATTTTTTAAAAGTAGCTACTAGTTGTATCCACACTTTGTACAGATGTGAAGCAATGTTTATATACTTCACTAAGTACACTACAAAATGATAATACATGTTTCATGAAATTGTGAATTGTCATTGTGAGCACACACAGACTATATGTATTTTGGACTTTGGTATGGCTAGAAATATTTAAAAGTCAGCTTTTTCTTAAGGTTGCCAGTTTGTTAGAATATCCTCACAAGAATCAGTTAAAATTTAGGCTAATTCATGCTTATGACCATTATTGCAAATATTGATGCAGCAGTGTTGAATACATTGTTGTAGATATCTAATTGGGATAAATTTTCCTGTGATATTGGTTTTTTACAGTGTGGTAAAATATGTACTCTGCCCTAAATGTTTGATATTGTGCATTCTGTTGTTACGTATACAAAGCTTTTAATTAATCTCATGTAGTTATAATATGAATTGCCCATTCCAAAAATGTCAGCTACTTGAAACATTATTATTCTGTTTACCAAAATCATGATACCTGAATACTTTCATTAAAAAGACAATACATGTGATAAGAACGTAGTCTGTTTTTTGGAATTTAGTGCAACTGAGTACTGGATCCCCAAAATGTGTTTGACAAAAGTTTCTTGTAAGTGTTCCACTTTCATATTCGGTTACATTAAAAAAAGATGAACGTTTTATCATCTTAACAGCAAATGTAGGATTATTTACATGTAGTGTTCTCATCATGGTGGTTGTTTCTGCAACTTGTGTAATAAAATTTGTTATTACTGCAACTTGTCTATTTTTTCATTTGGCTATCTGCTATGTCGGATTCACACTCGAGCTAAGGAAATCAAAGACTATGAATTTTTTTTTATTAATTTGCAACAAACAAGCTTCATGGTTTGAACAAGTTCACTTGCAGCCATCTGGCAATTTTATGATGGCTTTGTATGTCTACAGTCCTCACTAACAGTCAAAAACTCCCCTTCGTGCGGTAATGGTTTATTTTTGCCCGAGTGAAGGCGTAGGTTCGGTGTCCATACTATACTAGGTCGACCACCTGAAAGGGTGCACCCACGTATGTAGGCCAGAAATATGTCTGCTGAGCTCATTAACCCTAACAGTCCTCAGTCCTCCAACAGGTGAAGGATTGAGGACTGTTGGGGTTAATGAAAGTTATACACTCAAAATATTCTATATTAGGCTCTTAGAGGGTCCTGAGAGCCATGGAACTGGGTAATTGAATAAATATGACACTGGGCCAGAGTCAGGGCTTCCAATTCTGAGCAATTTGGATGCAATCGGGTCCAAAAGTGGCACTATTTGAGCCATTTTGCAGAGGGATACATTTTCAAAATGGCTACAATTCCGGGTAGTGAAAGTTTCCTGGGGTGGTCTGCTTTGAGTGAGAATTTCTCAAAAATTCATCAGTCAACCCACTAAAAATTAAAAAAGAAAAATGACATGTGGAACATAATTTTTCTGTGCAGCCTGAACACCTGTGAGAGTTGTATTTTTAAAATAGTTGTGAAGTACGGGGATTTATCACTGCTGTCTATGCGAACTTACTTGCTGCGGGGGCACCCTCGAGGCCAGAAACACAGTAATAGCGCCCTCAATCGAACAACTTTAAGCAACCTCAGTAGACTAGCAACAAAGGACGCCATTTTACGTTTATCGTTGACTTCCGGCGATGATTGATTGGTAATGTGAAGATAGGCCGTGGACTCTGGAATATTACAACAAATAACAACTGAAGTAGACAGCCAAGATGGAATTTATACAGTACAGAACTGAATCAGCATTTCAAGGGAGTCCAGTAACCACACAAAATGGTGTAAATGAAGGTCAAAACCTACACGGGGACATGAGCGTTGAAGATCTTGTGTTGTCAATGCGTCAAGATTTATTGGTTGACTCCGTCTCAAATCATGTTTTTGATCCAACAGTAGGTGGAAATGGAATCGGTAATGTGATGAGTGTGCACCGTCAACCTGGAGCAGTTTCTGTAAGGATAAATGGAATAGGCTCCCATGTTTGTGAAAATGAACATGGAAACATTGAAACTGGTAATGTATTTGGAGGACATGACGACGATGAGAGTAATGGAATGCACACCAAGCCATATCGGCAAGTTGGAATGGTAAGACAACTGAGTATTGCTTTGCTTTTATCTATGCCAGTGGTATGTGCTTTAAAATGATCGAGATTTCAGTTATCAGGTTAGTTCAACGGTAATCATGGTAATTGTTAATTGCCAGGACTCCTCTTTTTTCCCGCACTCAATTAGCTGATTACATAACGTTAATGTCTAAAATATAGGAAAACAGTAGGGCCTAGGCCTACATTCATGTACTTGTAAGGCTTTCTTTGGCAGTCTTCCATTCGTACATGTACACATGTACCTTACCATGGTAAAAATTTTTGTCAGTGTTAGAGTGGAGGTTCCCGAGTATCATATTTATAAAAAATTACAAGTTTACCTTGCAATAAACTTTAAAGTACATGTACAATGTAGTCTGTACCTTTAGGCAAGTCAGGCCTACATGATCATCATGATGATGTACATGTTGGCCTAGATAGCGTATTTGGTACATGTATTTCTTGTCTACACTGGGCCATCGAAGGTATTGAATTTCCGTTTAAGTACTATCTTGGACTTGAATGTGAAGCACTCTGTCGATGGAACTACATGTACAACGTCTGCTGGTAGAGATTAGTCCTCAAATACATGTACACTCGTTTTACACAAATAGTGCCATTGCATTAATACATGTAACACTTTTAGTGTATAGGAGTCTCATATGCGGGCATCACTTTTTTTCCCTTGCAGTGGTTTATGATATAAGCCATCAGAAAGTCATAATAATATTAATATGCCCTAAAAAGTCAAATTTACACAGTAACAGTTAAAATATTGAATCATTTACTTAGAAAACACTTACTTGTAGAATTTTTCAGACTATCCTTATAGAGTTTGTGCACAGTATGTCAAGTGATGTCCGCATATTGAACTCAGGGTCAGGAATCCATTGACTCTTTTCTTTTTTTATTCTTGTTGAACTAACTGTTGTAATTTGGTTGAAACATCTTTCCTTTCTTAATGCTCATATGTTCCACTAATGACGCATGAATGCCTGAATCCTGTAATTCCTTATTTTAAAGAAAATGTTTTGTGTTATACATGTACATGTGTACATGCAAATTATGTACATGTAAGTGCCTACATCAGTACATGTACAATGTACATACATTTGCATGCATTAACAGATTATATTGTGCAACCATGTCAAGGGTTACTTTTCAGTAAATTTAATTTCAAAAATAACAAAATTGGAGGTTTGTACTGTGCTTGCAAAACTTCCAGATTTTTTTATAAGCACAGGTCTTTGTTTGAAACTGGCATTTTTCATGAATTAGCTTTTTAAAAGGGCTGCTCACCAATTTATCATTTTTTTAATGTGGTCTAATGTGAATGTAATTGCCTTACTTACATGTACATGTAGTTGCTTGTCGAAGTCAGCCTGATGAAATACATTTGCAGATGTGCAGTGTATTCTTTTCCATAAATATTTGTCAATGTTGTTACATTTACAGAGAATTGAAACAGAATGCAACTTCAACCAGGTGCAACTTCAGCAAAGTCAGAATGAAAGTGTCTGTAAAATGCCAGGAACTGCCAATCAGCCTGTAAACTCCAGCATGTCTAATGGATTTGTTAGGCATAACAAATCCCAACCACAGCTAGCTTCACAGTTTTACCAACAGTTGCGGATGACTTGGGGACCATCACAGAATGTTGCACCTGTGAACACTGAACATAAGATGGATTCTGGAGAATCACTTACATGTATCAACAATGGGCCATCACAATTTGAGCCTGAATTTGGTCTTCGAATGTTGCCTAAACCTCCTCAAGAACCTCGTAGAGGATCACAGACAAGGGGTAGTTTACGACGAGCAGCAAATCTCCTTCTCAAACGCAACAGACAAAGTGTGTCTGATGGAGAGGTCACACGGAAACCTACACCTCCAAGTACGCCACGAGATGAACTAGAACGTAAAAAAGGGACCAAATCCCAGACGATAAGAGAGCGTCTTCAAAAAAATAAAAGTAAGATGGGAGACCTACTACGGTCACCGAAATTATCACGTGCTCGGCGGCTAAGTCATGGTAACATCAGTACTGATAGTTCATTGTCCCCAACAGATGTCATACAGACTGACCACAGAAAATATGCAAGTGCAGAAAATCTGGAAGGAATAAACTTTCACTGCAGGACAGAAAACCAAACCTTAAAACAAGCTACAAAGAATACAAGACTGACTTCCAAGCCGTCCAGTGAGGCATTTTCAAGTCGATCGGATGATACGGATGACCACGAGTACATTAGAAGGTCTCCTCCAGGGTATAAGTTAAGGAGGCATTCTAGTGGGCCTGTTTATCATGCATCGAGTGAGATGAACACTCATAGAGGTAATATACCGGGGTATCATGTACATACATGTAATGTCTTATGCATGACAGCCATCGTTGAGGGCATTCCTCATTTCAAGTCGATTCATTTTAAACCGAGTAGTTTTCGAGTCCTATTATCTGGCAAACGTTAGTTTAACATGGAACAGTGTAGTGTGTCTGTGTCCCTCATGCCATGATGTAAAGGCTGAGTAGTATGGTACATGTACATGTACATGTGGAACACAAATGTATTACATGTACATGTAAACTGGTCCCTGTTCGTCAAGCGCAATTACAATTAACAATTGTCATGTACATGTATCTTGAAGCAAAGTTGACATGCATGAACATATAGCACGGGGCACATATCTGCCACTTTGAATTTTCAATGAAGTCTGCAGCTGTACATTTTGCAGCAGTGTAAAATACATACAGTCACAGTTACAACATCTTGTAATGTACAACTGTTTACTGGGTGAAAAATGGACTGCGCAATACAGATACATGTATTATTACATCATTGCTTCCATGGACCGACCAATCAGAATTGAGAATTGGAGTTTGCTTGGAGATACTGTATGTACATGTACCGGTATATGTACATGTATGTGATCTCAGATTGCACATAACACAAGGTTTGTATTTTTCAAATGTATTGTGCCTTTCTAACCAACTCAATTCTTTGCATACATAAACTTAAAAAAAAAATAAATGAATGTGCTTGTTGCTGCTGGCAATTTTGCTTTTTCATATGTACATGTACATGTACCTCTCTGTAATTTATTTAAGAAGTTTTTTGCTGATTTTAACAGATCAGATGAAGAAATTACACAAATGTAAATTTTTTGCTAAGGTACATGTATTAGCAAAAACGTGGGCTCAGACAGTCAGAGAGCGGTCACTCATAAAAGAGGTATCTTCAGTCTACACATCCTAATGATACATGTATTTTAAATCTGCATTTCAGGTTATCACACTGCAGATAGTGATACAGATTCTGGAATCAGCAGAGTAAACACCAACATTTCACAAATTCAAACCAGGTACTGTCCAAGCACTGAATACATGTAAAATTTAAAAACCTGTGCATGCTTGCCTTAATGGGATATCATTTATTGTGTGTTATATTTGAAAATTGTAACTTTTGCATTACGCTGCTAATAAGATTACATGAACATGAACATTATAGCTTTATGGCAGTCACCATGGTTTGCAAATTTTCATCTACAGTTAGCACTGCATGGATCCATCGATTTCAAACTGAGCATGAATGAATTACATGTACATACTGTATGATACAACATGTATGTTGACTTTGGCTTGACATAAAGACCCTTGCTGGCACTTAACATGTCCATGTTTTTACTTTCTAAAGCAGGACAGACCATAAAATCCATAATGGATCCCTTTACATTAAAACCTCAAGCTGTTTCAATGATTGGTATTCCATTAAGGGATTGTACATATAGGCTATACATTGTATCAGTAACCTGGTTGGGAAGAAAACAGATTCTCTTACAGAGTAGCTAGGGAGCAAGTGTCATAAACTATGCTTTCCTTTACTACCAGTATGTCATAGTTACATGTACATGTACAGTGTACATGTATGTAGCAGACAATCTACATCGTATAAAATCCTGCTTTTTACAATAATGTAAATTACATTGACTGTACGTCCTGAATATGTCTAGAAAAATCAATCCTTGGCAGAAGCAGAGTTTCATTTTGGTAAAGTTTCTTTTTTGTTTTGATACTGTTTAGGAATGATGCATATAAAGCTCTTCCAACAACCCGGGACACTTTACGAATGTTATCAAAGAAGCGAGAAGTGACCAGTACATCAAGTAGGCACATGGGTAAATCTGTAAGTGGTCCATTAAGGGCAGACCATAACATTCAACCAGTCAGTGGTGCAGTGAATGCAAACAGTGACCTCTACCAACTGGATGAAAGGTTTGACTCAAATATTTTTTCTCTTTTTATCTTATACATGTATCATCAACAGTTTAATTACAGATTATGATGACGAAGGCATTTAAAAAGGACTTTTCAAAACTCATTGCTTCAAACACTTAAACATTTAAACACAATAAACTGCTCATTTTAATGTGGTATGCATGTTGTTGGAGCAGAATAACACATTTCCAGACTGAAATGCTTGCACGTATAATACTTATAAGTACTAGGAATCACAGTACATGTACATTGTCAGATTGTACATGTAGTTTTATAGAGGCAAATACTGAGACACTTTGAAAATGGCTTAAACCTGTATGCGTTATTGGTTTAAAACTTTTCTCATAGTGTAATGGTTACAATTGTGTATGTTCTTAAAGGTTGCAAGCAGATAAACCTGATGTGTGGACTGAACAAGGGGCTCGTCCTAAACTCTCAAGTTCAATGGAGTCTTTGGAAACTGAAGAAATGAGGCATGAAATTTTCCCTGATACACTGATAGGGATGGAACATAAATCACCTCATGAAGACAGAAGAGACAAAGTACACCAGCAGGCATCATCAAGTGTGAAATCAGACAGTAGAAGATCAGACAGAAACTCAAGACCTCCATCACCATCACGAGCAAGACCACCTTCATCACGAGCAAGACCACCTTCATCACGAGCTAGACCACCCTCACCATCTCGTTCAGTACATTTTGAGGATAGTAACTTGCTGAGAGATGAAAGATATGAAAGGAGACCTCATTCACGTTCACAGAGTAGGACACAAAGGTGTCCCGATGACAGTAACCAACTCACCCTTGCCACCTCAGTAAAAAGTAAAGCTAATACCGCTCATGATTTTGTCGAGACTGAGTCAAAGGACTTCCACCACAGGAATGAGAGTGGGCATAATGCCTATTCATGTATAGATGACACACACACATATTCCAGTGAAATGGACCACCGCTCAAGAATTATAACTAATGACAATCCCTATGAAGAAATACAGGTACAAGGCTGTATGAAGTCAGAAGAGAAAGTACATGTATCAAATGGAAAAGCTGTGAGTAATAAATGGCGCGACACAGACTCATTTGATGGACTATATGCAGAAGTTCAGAAGAAACGACCGGAGAGGAAGAAACAGCACTTTAAGAGTCCACTAAGAGAGAGTGGGGAGTCAAAGGTCAAACATCCAGGCTCTGCAGGTGGTATCAGGGGTATGTTCATATAGTGTTGTTGTGTGTCATATGTGTAATCCTACAAAATGCATGTATGTTCAATTTTGTTAGTTCACCAGTGACTTGAAAGAGTGTAACAATTTTCTAAGAATTGGTGCATCACTCTCAATTTTATCCAGATACACGTATGCGCCCTTCATTTTACTTTCAGGGAAAAGTAGGGAAAAATTTGGGAATGGGACAACATCTATTGAAAGAAGACACATGTACATGTATGGACACATTTTAATTTGTTCAAGTTCTTTTTGACTCTTGTAGATGAGAGCAAGGAATGTTTTTTTTTTATCCAACTTACAGCCAATGGTTTCAACCATTTAGAATGGCTGCATTGAGAAAAATCTCCCCAACAGAAAACCATCACCTTGACTTGCAACTTTTACTCAGACACACTTACAAATGTACATGTGTTTAACATTCAGAAATTATTCTCTCTTTTTTCAACTCTTGTAGATGATTTTTCAGTACAGGCTCCCTGTGATGAGGAACCAATTTATGCACAAGTGAACAAGGCCAAGAAGAAACCTCCATCAGGTGTAAAGTTGACTTCAAGACATCATTCACAATACAAGGATATTAATAGCAATCCTTGTGTAACAAGTGACTTTGACAACAGTATCTCATTTGTTGAAAATGACACCAAAGATGGTTTAGCCTTCAACAGGTACATGTACATGTGTATGTCCGTGGCAAATAGAATTTTGGTATACAGGCTCGACTAGAGAAAACAATTTCTGATGGTATCCGCCCCGAGCTGAAATGCTCCCCCAATCGGTGACAAGAAAGACAGATTGTTACAAGCGGGTTCTTGCACGCATTCTGCATGTACGCAAAGACCACACATACCAGAGTAAACATGGTAAATCAGTTATGCGAACTCAGCGTGCTCCACGTCCAATGCACATATACTTGCGCACCACACGGCGCGCCTATGCCGTTAGTACTCAAAGAATGTCCTCTTTTTTCTGCTCAGGGCGGATAGCACACATATAGAAAGCTATTAACATTTCAGGCTAGTAATGTCAATTAGCTTAGCAAGTTGTGTGCACATGGGAGGTCCTGTTGGTGATATTTTTAAACCATTACTAGTAGGAGGGGGACCTGCCTGCTGTCGCAAAATACACTTATAAAAATTATGTTGTTAGAATCACATACAGCATATTGGTCATTTGTTGACTTCATACAGAAATTGAGAGAGCAACATGTAGAAGGGGGGGGTTAAAAAGGTAAGCTTTGCATGAAAGTGGTGCACCAAACAACTAAAATGAGCACAACACCTTTACAGTTTGCATCTTTCCTTTTTATCAAATACATGTACAGAAGCAATCGCTACGTAAATGTAACATTGATTCTCCAAGTGCTGTGTAAATTTCGTAGAATCCATGTTGCAAATGGAATGGCTAACACAGTAAAAGTTAAGGCATTGTCAGAATACACCTGTGTTCCCCATCGGAATCATTCCAGTGTACATGATGCATGTGAAGGAATTGAGGCCTGATAATAATTATTTATACTGTGCAGTAATTCGACACTTACACCTGTTTTCTCTATATTTGTAGAAATTTTGAGCATTACTCAGACCTGAGTGGTTCGCGCCTTTCCATCACATCACGTGCCTCAATATCTGAAAAGATGCAAAGTATTGGTAAAGCAACCAAAAAGAAATTCAGTTCAATGAGAAGGGCCCTTAGTCTTGACAGGATTGATACATCGACCCAGGAAGATGATACACAGCCAAAGGTATTCATTTGTATATGTCCTTGTTCATCTGTAAATCCAAACATTTTTATCTTTGCTTCCCAGCATTCCATTTTTTTAGTCAGCTTTTTTCTTTTCTCTGTCACTTTATATGAAAGAATCCTCTTGCTGTTACTAAAACAATTCCTTACAAAAGAAATTTTACTGTGGTGGTTTAAGTTACAAAACCCTCACTCATGCAGATCATTCAAATAAAGGTTATCTTTAGGTTCATGTTCTCATAATACTTCAAGTGATTTCTATCAGCATTTTTATTTTCATTTGGAATTTCTACTGTGTGCTCAAACACATTCCCTAAGACATCTTGAATGATGCCCGGTCATGTTCTGTTGTAAATGTTCTGGTATGTGTCGTAACTGACCAAGATGTACAGTGTACATGTATCTATTTGTATGTTAATTTTTCTCTACATTCTCAGTTCATTTGCCTAAACAACATTTTTTTCCTTTCTGTTTTGTTAATAGTTAAAGCGTTCTCCATCATTGCGGTCTCTGACTGGGATTTTCAGCAAAAAGGACAAAACTCATGACAACACGGACTCTAAGAGGAATCTGCATAAAAAGTAAGAAGGCAATTTTCCAGTCCCTCATAATTTATTTTACGTTTTTATTTCACATGCTTTTTTTAAACACCTTGCATTCCAGTGAGGAGAAAAATTTTAAGACATGCACTGAATTCACAATGGCAAAATGCATTGCTTTATTAAGCAGCCTTTGTATTGCAAATACAATGCAAAACTAACTGTGTTGGACAAGCACGAGTCTTGCTTACTAAACTCAGTTATATGTTCGTTTTTCAAAGGGTAATTTACTTATTCACTCTTATTTTATGTCTGTTCAGTTGTATAAACTTCATATTTCAGGTGTTTAACATTTTTCGGACAGAACTGTGTTCTGTCTTTCAGAACATTTACATGTACATTTAGTCCCTGTGAAGATACTGTAATTTTTCCAGATTTGTATGTCAAAGTTTGACGAATGACTTTGTCGAGCTGACCAATGGATACTTGCTTAATAATTCCAGGCGTTCTGCAAGTATAAGTGGATTGTATGTAAGACCACAACGTACATCTGAAGAAACTGATGTGACATCACCAAGCCACATGAGGAAAGTTGGGAAACTTCTTAATATCAACTCTGATGGATCTCAGACAGTGGAATTAATTAAACCACCAAGTGGACCATTTGGATTCTACATTGCGCGTGGTACATCTAACTTTGGTTCAGGTGAGGTTCTTAACATTGAACACCTGCATAGATTTGCTCATAGTGCTGGTTTCTGTCTGAGATCAGCACTATGGGGTGTACTTGTGCCATAATCAATAACATGTCCATCATGTAGTAGGGTATGGAAGTAGGTAGTAGGGTATTTTGAGTGGGATCAGGTCAACTCGGACCCAAACCATCTCGGACCCATTCCAACTCGGACCCATGCCAACTCGGACCCAGGACCAACTCGGACCCACGCCAACTCGGACCCAATACTAACTCGGACCCACGACCATCTCGGACCCACAACCAACTTGGACTCACGCCAACTCGGACCCACGCCGTTTCGGACCCACCTCGAGTCAACTCGGACCCACTGAGTCTTATGGTTGCATTACACCAACTACGCGCCTGTAGACCGAAATAGCGCTGACTCTTGAACCTCGCGAAGAGGTTGGCCTTAATTTTTTCGTTGAAAATTCAAGATTATGGACAGATCAATCACTTTTCGTTTCAATTTTATGAACTTTTTTATTCGCCTTTTCCCGAAGATACCCCCGTAATAGTAGTAAAACTATGCGCTCATATGAATGTAGCCGCCTGCCTCTATCCAAAATAGGCCAGCATTGTGAGGCTTTTTGTGAAAAAAATACTCTGAACCGGAAACTATCAATCCCAAATTCGGGATTTATATAAATAATTCTATGATCCCTCGTGATTATGGCACGTCTTATTGTAGAAAATAAGAAACCGTGGGATCCCAAAATATTAATAATGAGCTTGCGAGTAGACATACGATGCTTCAAAACGTTACAGCTTGGCAGCATGCAGTGCAAAAGTGTCATTTACCAAATGCTAAAATGTAAAAGTGGACAAAATAAAAATTTTCAACAAGTTAATCACACTCCTGGGGCTGTGTCCGAGTTGACTCAGGGTGGGTCCGAGTTGGTTGTGGGTCCGAGTTGGTCGTGGGTCCGGGTTAGTATTGGGGCCGACTTGACATGGGTCCGAGTTGGTCGTGGGTCCGAGTTGGCATGGGTCCGAGTTGGCATGGGTCCGAGTTGGTTTGAGTCCGAGTTGACTCGAAACCTTTTGAGTTACTGTGTAATGCACCTTATTTGATTTTTGAATTAAGGCCTGGATCCTGGTCTCAGGCCGTCTTGGTCCTGATTTCATGGTCTTGATCTTAGTCCTGGACTCCAAGTCTTGGTCCTAGTCTTGGACCAGATGTTCTGAACTGCAACACTGGATCATGACTTTATAGTCTTTGCATAGATCTTCGAACTTTAAACAATATTCAATAAATGTTCTTTGACTCCTGAATGACTAAATTACTAATTTTGTACAGGTGTTTTTGTTACTCGTCTTGGAGATGGTCATCCAGCTAAGATCCTGGCTGGTCTTCTTGCAGTTGGGGATGAAATTCTGGACATAAATGGTGTTGATGTTCGTAACCGACCTATAGATGATGTCTATGACATGATGATGGACAATGACAAACTGATATTGAGGCTGGTTCCAATTGCAACTCGCAGCACATGGACAGAATGATTGAATAAAGAAAACAAGTGTCATGCTCTAGTCAATTTACTGTAAGTTTGTGGATAATTATATGAAAAACACTATTCAGAATTTTTTGTAACTTTTTACTGCATGTTATAATATGTGCGTTTGTTAATAAGTTTGTGGAAAAATATCAAGAATTAGAAATTATGTGGTCAGTGAATTTGCAATTCATGATGTATTTTTGTTTACTTACAAATGAGAAAAGTCTTTACATGTGCCCAGTTCCACACCAATGGTGGATGGGGGTCTTGAGGTATCTTAACCTATACCCATTGAACCCCACACCTGACCATTTCAAGTAAATTTGTATTTACCTTTAAACATCTGTCATGTCTGTGGTGCTTTGCACAATCAGTCAATCTGTGCAGTCAACCACCTTGTTAGGCAATAGTCAATCCTATAGGAAATGTCACAATTTAATTTCCTTTTTCAAACAATATTTCTACAATCCGGGCAGCTCTACATGTATCAACAAGTGGCATTAGGATGGACTGTTAGTGTAACGTAATCAATTAATGATTATACCCAGTCAGATTTCCTAACCCCCTAGGGTATATGTAAACTCATATTGAAATTGGAGGATTTGCCGGGACTGTTAAGATCGTTGACAACACACTCAGCTCTTTCCTATTCAACTGCGCAGTAATTTGTGACAGCCCCATCCCCTTTCCTAGGCAAGGAGAAATTCTGGATGCTACACTGACACATGTAACCTATTATTGTGCCTTAGACTAATCCATTTTAAGTGACTTTCATTCATACTTGAAGCATTTGCTATTTTTTGTACTGCTGTGAATTGACATTTTACTGGTCATGCATTCCTAATAGCCTTTATAGCTGTGTATGCTTTTCTATATTTATTGGAAAATCTTTGCTGAATATGAATATTTCTATCATTTTACTAATACTGGTTTCTCAAATGCCTAGATTATGCATTGAAAGCTGTATGGTAGATATACAAATTAAAAAATACACTGAGAAATTTTTGTAAATACATGCAATTAACTGTGTTGGTTTGAAAGCCTTATTTCAAATTTCAGTCGTAAAATAAATGTAAAGATGCATACGTATACATATTGGCTGACAACAATATTTCAAATAAGTAACTTTGACATTTTCTATATATATGTTAAGAGGCTGTTAAACATAATGTGGTAACTTCAAATAGCATTGGAGCTATTAACATTCATATATGTAAAATGTAAGATGTACATGTACAGGAATGTTACCTGTATGTCAAAGTAATGAATTACACGGGTATGAGTGTAGAGAGTTAGATTTCAGACTAGTATGTACTTGTTTATATCCATGAATTCAAGGATGTTTTGGTGAAGTATTATTTTTGTGTATACATGTACATGTATGTTTATTTCAGAGTCTCCTCATGAGCTGTATACTTTGAGCAAAGCTGACATGCAGAATTACTTTCTTGTCTGACCCATGTTAGCTACAGTTAATCTGGAAATGTTGTCTCCCTGTTTTCAGTCTTGCTAACAGGTTCATGTATTTGTACTCAGTGCAGAAATTCCATTATGAAGATGTTCCATAGGATATCTGGCTAGCCTCTCTGATAGTTTGTTGTGCTCTACTTTTATTGCAACACTGCTGTTTTATAATGACATTGTTGAAAGTACATGTGCGTTATTTTGGCCTTGTGGAGGGATGCAGTCTCAAAAAATTAATTATCCTGTAACACAAGTGGACTCCCCCACACACACACCTTTGACAGGTCCTGTAACGGGATGGGGCTTAATGGATAGGTCTATTAATGGCTGGCATCAGCCATTGGGGGGGGGTTCCACTTGTGTTCACAGGATAATGAATTTATCTTCACTCCAACTTGATACATACATTCTGCTTTTGAATTCACAGGTGATTGTTTACAGCTCTAAGCTGAATGAATGCATAATAAAACAATTTCCCCTCCAATAACACCGTATGCAAAGTGTGATATGGACCAGTTTGCTGCCTATAGCAAAATCTGTTGCCATGGATCAACCAAACTTGCTAAAGATGAAAGCATCATTATGGATTTTATTGTTTTTGAAGAGGTTTCATTTCAATGCATAGTCAAAAAGTTTGCCTTCAAAAAGGTTTTTGAAAGACCGTCCATCAGATTGTGCAATTCATATACAAAGCATTTCTCTTGAGATCCCATCTCCAAAATATTATTATATTAAGTTTGAATTAATTATAGTGCCAATTATATATTAACTAAAATGATAGAGTTGGAATCACGATTTACGCGTATGTGATTTGGACATTTGGAGAAAGATTGCCATTTGCCTGGTTTGGAGCAGTAATTAAGGTAATTAATGTATTGTCAAGAAGTATAAGAAGTCTATGTTTCATTCTCATAAAGCATTCTCTGCTTAAGTGTGACCGTGAACATGTCTTCAGTTTCGATGGCAATAGGAGTACAGTATATCAAGTAGTCATGTTACAGACTGTTCCGCTTTTTCATGAAGGAAGGAAAGACGCTGTAAATTGATGTAAACATGACGTTGTTAATAACAGTGTGTCATTGTTTTGACGTGACTGAATGCAAATGACTTTGTGTAACGTGGTGTAGGCCTTATGTTCATTTCTTGACTGACCTTGAGAGACAGACATTTACGGGAACCCCCCCCCCCAAAGTTCATGACATGTCAGTTCAGTATAAAATATTCCTAAAAGTTTGTAGCAAGAAGCTTCGATTTAGAAAACCTGAGACCATATTTGTTAATAATCATTTGTCGATGTAAATATGAGTCTTTTAAAGCCGAAGGCCGCCGTTTACGGTCCTTCACGCAAATTCATCGGGTACTTGAAGATTCATTGTATGAACTGTCCTTGGGTGTAGGTTGCCTTGATAATCGCCCTGCCTTTATTTTATATTTTCACTTGCCTACTCCCATGAAATTTTCACGGCATTACAGCAACATACGTTGCAAGAAATCTTGGTTCGGATATAGGTCAGGAGATACTTTGCGAGAAAACCACTCATATCCTATTTTTTCCGTTTATAGCTCCATGATTCAGTCAAAAACATAAACCTTTCCAAAGTTTCAGCACTTACATTACATGTAGGCAGTGGCACAGATCGTATGGCGCCGCTATACCATTGTTGGGACTGTCCATAAAATACATACGCATGAAATGCCGACTTTTCACAGGGATGTCGGACAACTTGACCGTTTCAGTGCCAACTCAACCGTTGAGACAACTCGGCCGTTTGCCAAGTCATCCGTTAGGACAACTCGACTTTGACAGAGAGACAACTCGACCAGTGCGAGATCTCTTCACATAATACAGTTGTTTTCCCAGTTTATTCATTCATTCTAAACAAAGTTTAGGGTGTCCACTTTTGACATGCTACGAAGACTTCTGTAAGTAAATTCCCAATTTTTGCTAGCAGAAAATTGAGTTTTTGAGAATGCTTTATGCAAATTCTCCAAACCCGAAAACTTACTAGCAAAAAATGAGAAAATGGGGTTGTCCACATTTGAAGCATGACAGTAATTTTGCCAGTGAAAATTTGAAGTTTTTAGTTGTCCACTTTTGACGCGCCACGAGAGTAGTTAAAGTAAAATCCAAATTTCTCCTTACAGAAAATTGCGTTTTTTGAAAATGCTTCAGGCATAGTCCAAAATCCCGAAAACCTACTAGCAGAAAATGAGAAAATGGGGTTGTCCACTTTTGATGCTCCATACTTGCGTACAGTTAGCACTGGCTCGAACCCCCTCTCCGTACGCACGGTGTACGCATCGGTACCAACCCCCGGGAGGGGCCCCCTCCCCCTTCGTGCCTACCCGTACACTTCCCAAAGCCCTGGCCGTTTTCCAAAATCTCGGCTTTGTTTCTGATCTGCTGTTCGACACACATAACAAATATATACAGCCGTATAAGGCTAGAAGTAAATATAAAGTGATTCCTTTGTCAGGTCGATAGGATGAACTCGTACTATTTAAGATAAAATACAACTTTGTATTGGCTAAAATAATCCAACATCGGAGGTGAGATTCACGCAAAGCCGCGACGGAACGAATCCAAGTTTATTAAAACTCTGAGCACTGTGCGACGATCTGCCCATGCGCTGTGACCTACGATACTGTGCGAGCGTACGCACGCGTAGACTAGACGTACATGTACATTCATATATTAGCATATATATATGCTGCACTTCCAATTCGGCGGTCGACTTGGGAATCTTAGTGTTTCGCATGTAGGCCTGTACATGTATGGTAGAACCTCCTCGTTGTAATTATTTCTTCAAATATGAGTTTCTAATTTTCACACCTCGAAACTACAATGCCTGACATGAATGAAAATGCTGCTTCTGATTTGTCATCGATTCATCCTCAACTAACACCAGAGGATGAAGCTCGCTATGCCAAATTGTTTGAACAGTTAGACGTGAATGCAGATGGCCGCATTGATGTCGAAGATCTTCAGGAAGGTCTGGAAAGATTAGGCGTGCACATTGTACCTGGTCATGCTCAGGTAGGAAAAACCAACTTTTCATTGTTTGAGGGTCTCGTTAGTGCCTTGGTCCACACTGTCACGGAATGTCCTTCGTCATGTGTTAAGCCCCAACTACACATGTACATGTGTAGCAGCACTCCCAGTGTTTGTGCTGCAGTTGGGCTGGCCCAACTATTGTCCAATTTCTATCACGCAAATCTTCTCAACCTTATTATTATTATTTAGTCGGCATTCTTCATAAGGACACATGGACACAGCACAATACAGACAGTACATGTACATGTAAGATACACAAGGTCAGCAGCAAATGCCAGGAGATGAAAAAGTTAGTACTAGTAGTAATAACTGTGACCCAAGGGCCTCCATTTCCGATACTAGTACTGACCATAAACAACACATACCTAAATGTAAATGTTAAAAAAGGTTGAATGATTCCCGAAAATAAATAAGTAAATAAACAAATAAATAATAAATAAGAAGTAGCAGAAATAAAACGAATAAAGTAAAACCATCAGGACTCAATAAATTCGGTAAAATGAAACAGAATAAAATAAATATTTATGCTAGGCTAATGCCTACATCATTACATGTAAGATCAGACTAGAAAAAAAATGAGGTACCAAGAATTAATAAATGATTAGGTAAAATTAAAAATGGGTCATAAGAAAGCAGTGAAGCCAGATTTTTGGAATCAATCGCTATCATATAATTTGGTCTTGAGTGAGTTGATCCATCATTTCAGAGGTACACTGTACATGTACGTGATGTACATGTACATGTAGCACAACCACTGCAGTTCTAAGACTCTAAGTGTATGCATCTTACACTTGACATAATTGATCTAAATATGGCACTCCATCTATGACGTGACACAGTAAACAATGAACATGATTTTGTCACATGCAGGACTCGACACATGCCCGCAGGACCTCTGTGCTGTAGTTGGGCCATCCCAACTAACATGATTACCCCCAGAACTGTGGGGTCTGACATCCGCATCGCTCCCACGTTGGAGTGGGGCGGATGTCGGACCCCACATTTGTGGGGGTACCCAACTATAGCACTCCAGTTGGAATGGGCCCAACATGTACATGTATAGTTGGGACTAATGTATTGTTATAGTTAGGACGTAACATGTACAATGTACATGTACAATGTACATGCCAAGCATTTACACTTACTGTAGTCTGAGTAACTTTAGCATTTTTAGACTCTACAAATCGCCTTTTTTAAACATTTTGACCATGCCCTAATGTTTAAAAAAGGCTATTTGTAGAGTCGAAATTACTCGGACTAAACTTACTGCAGGCTAGGGCTTACATGTACCATGCATGTACAATGTAGCTGTTTAGTTTTGTTAGCATGGTTAGTGTTCTTATTTGGACATGATGGGGCGCAATTATTAGGCCCTATTATTATTTAGGCCCATGGAAAGAGTTCCAAACGTTATGAATGTCACTTGAAACCCCGTGCACAAACCCTATGAGACTGGTCTGAAAAATTGTTTCTTCAGTGAACAACTTGGTATGTTCTCTCCTGCAATGCCTATATTGAACTTTTCTGGAGATGGTTTTGCTATCTGATGGCAAATACTTTAAGGTAATACTAATAGGTCACTGTCATGACTGGGGGGAATAGTTACTGGTGTCCGTATATGGAACTCTTCCCTTATTCATGTTATTTACATGTACAGTGTATTTCTGGTAATGACACCAAGGATTCCATAAAAGCACCTTAGGCACTGTAGCTCACAAACGTATTCTGGGTAAAACCCATGGAAAATGACAGAATAGGTAGGGACTGAACACCCAGTCCACGTGTGGACTGAGCTGGAAATCGAATCTGGACCACAGAGATGGAAGGCATGGAAAGAACCACTACGCCAACCTGGCTCCTAACGCGCAATCGGATTGTGTTACACTATCTGACCACAGTCATAGCATAGTCAATCCTGTAGCTTTAATTCCTTGTTTTGGAATGATCTTCCACAAATGTGAATTGGAGAGAAAAGGGAATTAGATGATGTCAGACGTATCACCAAATCATTAACATGATGATCAGTTGCCAACCATGCTCATTTGTAGAGTCTAAGGCCTACATGTACGTACACTGTAGTCGGACCAGTAGATGATGAAATACCGGTATTTGTTCAAGTCATCTTATTGCGTCAGGTATAGATGTACATGTATACAGGCTATTCAGTGTTGCTCATGGAGCTCTTTGGGCTTTGCAGACTGACTCCTTGAGAGCCGTCATGTACAGACATTATACGTGTACATGAATGCAACATGTCGTACATGAGTTCATACATGTACATGATGGGGTGTGTGAAGTTACATATTCCTTTGTTAGGCATGTGCATCCTGCCCAATGTCAAACTGTTACTTTTTCAACATTGAACATCAAACTGGTTACTCGTTCAACATTGAATGTCAAACAAAAAATATGGTAAGTAACTGTACTAACTTGACATCAGTCATGTCAGTATGTACATGTACCGTACATGTATGTATGATGCACATGTACATGTAGTACATGTGCATGTAAGCCGTATAATCAGGTACTCAACTGAAACATTTAAATCAAAATTGGAATATTTTCTGTTCAAGTGTTCTTTTATTGGTACTTCATAAGTGTCATCAACCTGGTTTTACTGTCTCTTGTAGTGCCTCGGATTAGTTTTCTAGATAGATGGCACTTTATGTAAGTGTTTGTTTATTATTATTACTCCAGCATTAGCCAAGACCTCCTTGTGGGCTGCACAGAATAGCAGGCATTTTAAAATTTTGTTTGTACTTGTATGTCTCCCATTAAAGTGATTAAACAGCTGTGCCAGTGTGAGAAATCCTTAGAAGGGACTGAAGACTGCCTACATGTGTACGCTGCAAAAGTTAATTTTTGAATGTGAAGGAGTTCAAAGAAGTTTTGAAAATTGAAGGAAACAACAAAGTTATCAAGTTTTTCTTTCACTTAATTTTGTCTCATACCATGTACATGTACACTGAACATGTATGTGTAAGGGCCTGTCATACAAATATATGCAAGTGTGACAGTTCTGGATAGCTTTTCATACAAACCCCTGTGCATTGTGTGCAATCACCCTTGCTTGGGATTTCTGTGACCAAGTGGCACCATTTTGGAGCAAAATGCTCTTCCCCAGTCACTACCCTTAGAACTACATGTACATGTTCATGTACCGGTTGTATGTAGAGTGCTCCCTGCTCCACCTCTGAGCTAGGAGAGGCATAACAAGGAGCTCTATATTACAGTTTTGCTTTTATTTTTACGCATACCCAATTATGAGGCAAATAAATCCCCACATTTGTTCAAGCTTAAGACTGAACTTGAGAGTTGCAAATCATGTTTGACAGTTTTGAGCCACGTCGAGCAGGCATACTGTACATATACATGTACATTGGTTTAAGTTTAATTTATCATGATGGTTATCTCTCTCTACATGTTTAATTTCCTTTCCAGAAATTTATGTCAAAGAGTGATCAGAATAAAGATGGACACGTTGACTTTGCTGAGTTTCTGCAGTACGTCACTGAGCATGAAAAACAGCTGAAATTAGTATTCAAGCATATTGATCATAACCAGGATGGTCACCTAGATGTGCATGAGATCTTAGCATCACTGAGAAAACTTGGAGTTTCTGTGAGTGAAGACGAGGCAGATCGACTCATGAAGAGGTGGGTCTACAGTGTGGGTACATGTACACATACATGTATATACATATACATGTACGTGTACATGTACATGTACGTACAGTACATATACTGTACACTTGCATACTAGCATGTGCATGTTTGTGTGTACACACATGTACATGTACTAAGCACCGTTGAGATATCGATATGGTTTGATATTGATATCGCCGATGTTAGTTATTTGGTAATATCGATATATCAAAAATATTAGGTTTTGGAGAAATATCAAAATATAAAAACTTCAAAAACATTGATGTTGAAAAATATATCAAAAATATCACTACTGAGGAACAAACTTTATTAACAATACACAAGTGCATTGTCACATTACTGTTATTTTTGATAAGCCATGGCTTATGTTGGTTCTCACGCTGAGTGCAAAATGTTCCTGTAGCCTGGTACATGTACATGTTATACTCCAGGGGCTTATACGGTGACATTTGAAGAAAAAATTCAGTCACCTACACGTACATGTACATGTATGTCAGTGGTGCACTTAATAATTCATGTACACTTAGCCTTGAAAATATCACACAATTTATCCTCCAAAACAGAGAAATATTTGTTAACCAAACCTACATGTACATGTAGACTAGCACCACGTGCTGATGATATCACTGTGCATGGCAGCGTGTATCCCATGCCATGAAGGCAACGCACGCAATAAGGACACAAGAACATGTCGCCAGAGAATTGAATCACACCATTACGGTGTAGGGGCGTACCCTTAGAACAATTTACTACCAACTCACATCTGTTACAATACCTTGAAAATTAAAATGAATACAATTTGATGTATCGATAATATTGATATACATGTACGTGTAATATATCGGATCGGCGAAAATACGATATCAACGGTGCTTACCATGTACATGTACATACTGGGTGTACATGCCATGATTGTATGTACATGTAGCTTAACCATTGGACCAATTCATCCTGAGGCAAAATGAAGCTCACTAATCAGTGCATTATCAATAATAAAAGTATTATGCCATGTACGCTGGTGTTTCAGAATATGTTCTAACTGCAGTGGTCAATTTCCACAGTAACACATGTACATGTACTGTACACACCAGTTCATGTACTGTATTATGAAATGTAAAATTGACATGAAATCATGCATTGTCATTGAAGCCCAGAAGAAACTGAAATCTTGACCATTGCAAAATGTCATGCATGTAAAAAAAAATAAAGTTGCAAAGAAACTTTTTGTTATACATGTACATGTGTAGTGTGCAATTTTATTTTATTATGATGCTAATATTTGCTTAATTTTATTGATGTATTGTACCCAGATTCTTTCAGTTTCTCATGATACATGTCCATGTGTCTTCTTGGAAAAATGTACTGTACAGGTACAGTATAAAATTGCTGTACACGATGAATTTACTCATATCGTAGTGGTTATAATGTGCTGCTAGTACATGTACATACATCTACACATACATGTATTTTCACCAATTTCACCAACATTTCAAAGCATCCACTTTACTGATACCCTTAAAGTTAAATTGAAAAATCTGCTTGCAGATTAAAAGGCTGCAAGGGTTGTGAAGTGCCAACACATTTGGAAGACGATGTGGAATGTGTATGCTAGTAAGTGAAAGTTTGACATTTTGGGTTCAAATGTCAACAGATTGTTAAAACGGCAGTGAACTGTTTTTATGTGTTTTTTGGAATTAAAGTCTACATAATGTGCAAAATTTGTGCATGACATTTGCATGCTTTTGATTAACCAAACACAATTTCTGTAGCCACAATTTAACATTTTTATGTTGGGTTTAAAATGGTTACATATACATGGACCTGGGAAGTGTGATATTACTACACTGTAGGTGCTACTGTTCTGGTCACTACACATTGACTTGTCAGCTGACACATCCATTACCTACCGCAGAGAAGGGATTGAGTCACTGACAAAAGATACATGTAAGATGTTCACTTTGGCTGTCCATTACAAACATGTATGTGAAACATTTATCTCAGTACGTGTAGTGCATGTAATACATGTAAGCTGTTTATCCGTAATTTGTCAATGATCTTAGCATGATTGCATGTGCATGTTCAGCGTCATTTATATAAGGCCAAACAAAAAATTAGGTGTGTTTCCTATTACACTGAAAAATAAATTAGGGTGGTTTGTTGGATAAAAAAATTTCTTTTTTACCCTAAATTTTCATAGGCCAAACAAATTTGGATCGGATGATGGTCCTTTTTTTTGGGGGGGGGGCGTATATTTGTAACAGGTACTACATGTAAGTCAGTGTCAGATGAATACTGTTCATGTTCATTCAATATTACATATCAGCACTGTGATTGAGTAGTACATGTACATGTAAAGCAGCGGGTTGTTGAAATACATGTACAAACACACAAGAGCCGTTCATCTCATGTAAAAAAAAATTAAAACAATACAATGTACCGCATATCCCAACACGTGAGGCTGGCTTCGCATGGATTATTCCCTGTAGTGTGCGCGTACATGTAATGGTATGTGTACATATATGTACATACACACACATGATGCATTCATGTTGACCACCCAGAACAGCCTTCACGGCCAACATTTGCTGTGGTTTCAATTTGTCGATCGATATCCCAAGCTTCGGTGCTGCATATTTGAGGCAATTCTGGAAGAGATTGTCATCTAGAGCTTACGACACTGCCGGAAAGGACGCCATGTTGAATACGCGTGCCATTGTAATGATGAATAATTTATTACATGCACAATAGAGGCGATCGTTTTGATTGATGGAGACAGATGCATACGCATATATCGTATCTGCTACCGAAATGGTAGCAAATGTAAAGAAAAACATAAACTACATGTACATGTACGTGGGGCAGAACTCCAAAGGTGTACGGGGCATGCGTGCTGTTCGTCGTGTAGTCTTTCTTTGTGCATTGGTTTGGTGCTTAAACTAGTCTCCTCCAGCTCCTTGCTCTTGAGCGACTATCCATTTTGCCGCGGGCGCCTTGATCAAAGGCTACCCTGTGCCCTGCCTGGGCATTGCCCCTGGAGCCCCCCAGGGGCCCTTGAATGGACCCCTCGACCCCTGGCCGTGACCCGCAAGAGCTCCTCTCGCTGCGCTTCTCCAACATATTACCCGGCTGGTGACAACCCTGGTTTCGTGTGATTCTCTAGGTTGGGTGGGGTAACCGGAAACAGCTATTTTTTTTGTTTGGCCTAATAGCATCTGCATTCAGTAATTACAGGTTTATTTCTGTTGGAACATTCATGTAATACATGTACATGTATTTTTTTCTGTTGTTTAATGTAACTGCATGCACACAGTTTTAACACGATGTACCTGTCTAGGCCTACAACATAATGACGTAATGCACTATTTACGTACTGTGGTGCATTGTCGGTGAAAGGTGGGGATGACAGTCGTGCTCTAGTGCTGGAACATTGTGCGCATGGAAAGTTGTCAAAAAGATCTTGAGATTGAGAAGGCCTACAGTACATTTATATTTTCAGAAATGGTGCATGTTAACCTGTGTGTACCTTTTGTGTGTATCAAGCACATGACGAATGCCCTGCATTTTTTCAAGCTTCTGCGAGACCGCAAGTTTGCTCCGTTTGAAGTTGCATGGAGGCTCGCATGACTGATGATCGTGTCCGCCATCTTTGACAGTCTCCACTGTCACCCACAGTGCACTGCCGTAAACATTGCACTACGTCATTATGTTTTAGGTCTATTCATGCAAGTGATCAACCATTTTGTCCACTTTGCTTAGTTGGCACATTTTGTCCTTTGAGAAAGATTTTGCTACAAACTGTAC